CGGGGTACAGAAAATCCGCGGAAATCCATTCCCGCGCAGATATATGTATGTTGAACTTCTTTCGCGCCGTACGTAGCCAACCGTGCCAATTAGATGTGCGGGGAAGGACACATGGAGGCAAATTCGCATGCGTATGCTCGCTTACCCCACTCCCTTACCACGCTGCCGCAGGTTACACACTAACCCACTTGCTCACCCACACACACACTCACTAACCCACGTGCTCACACACACACTCACTAACCCACGTGCTCACCCACACACACACTCACTAACCCACGTGCTCACACACACACACTCACTAACCCACGTGCTCACACACACACACTCACTAACCCACGTGTTCACCCACACACACACTCACTAACCCACTTGCTCACCCACACACACACTCACTAACCCACGTGCTCACCCACACACACACTCACTAACCCACGTGCTCACCCACACACACACTCACTAACCCACTTGCTCACCCACACACACACACTAACTAACCCACGTGCTCACCCACACACACACTCACTAACCCACGTGCTCACCCACACACACACTCACTAACCCACGTGCTCACCCACACACACACTCACTAACCCACGTGCTCACCCACACACACACTCACTAACCCACTTGCTCACCCACACACACACTCACTAACCCACGTGCTCACCCACACACACACTCACTAACCCACTTGCTCACCCACACACACACACTCACTAACCCACGTGCTCACCCACACACACACTCACTAACCCACGTGCTCACCCACACACACACTCACTAACCCACGTGCTCACACACACACACACTCACTAACCCACGTGCTCACCCACACACACACTCACTAAACCACGTGCTCACCCACACACACACTCACTAACCCACGTGCTCACTCACACACACACTCACTAACCCACGTGCTCACCCACACACACACTCACTAACCCACGTGCTCACCCACACACGCACACTCACTAACCCACTTGCTCACCCACACACTCACTCACTAACCCACTTGCTCACCCACACACACACTCACTAACCCACGTGCTCACCCACACACACACTCACTAACCCACGTGCTCACCCACACACACTCACGTAGCCACTCACCACACTGCACGTCACAACAATACACTCACGCACCCACCTGTGGAATTTTGGCCACGTGAGCCCTGGGCTCTGCAAACCTTGAAATAAAATAACGCATGAATCAGTGGTGATAAGGTGTTGATGGAGGAGGTGGTGGTGGTGGTGGTTGTAATTGGGGAGGGTGGTTGGTTGTGATGTGGTTGTGGTGATTGTAAATACGGTGGTGGTGGTGAAATAAGGCACAGGTAAGTCGCATGTTTGATGAGTGGAAGTGGTGCAGTGCAGTGGGGGGGGAGGGGGTGGCTGAGTACAGGTGAGCTACACAGGTGTGTTCCAGGTAAACCCCCATGTCCCCACAGGTGTTCTCCCGCCAGTCAACGCGGGAAGGACTCCAGAAAATGCGTGACATCATTGCCGCCGTTCATCTTTCACAATCACCTCCGTGTGCCCCACGTGGTTCCGGTGCGTCACGTGGGAGCAATTAAAGGCCACCACGTGGTCGGCGTAGGGCGCGGTCGGAATCCTTTATGAGAGCGGCAAGCAGATCGCCCCGGTTCACGTGCAAAACATTCCGCCCGACGTTGACGTAACGTTGGGCGCAACAACGTTGGCCCAACGGTTTCCAACCAACGTTGGCTGGGATGTATTTACGAAGCAAAGGACGCGTTTGCATCTCAGCCGGGACTGTCCGGGGACGTCCTTGACGCCCTTTGGTTTTTGGCGACGTCTCATCCACCCAATGGATCATCGACCACGCTAGCTCCGGGCACCGCTCGCAGCGGCAGCGGATTTTGGCTCAGCCATCGAACCATGGAACGCTCCTCCTAGATGGGGAAAACATTTCTTTTTAGCCGCAGATGCGTGCCAAGAAAGGGCAGAGTCTTAGCTACGACTGTCCCTCGCCCTGAAACCACAACCCATACCCTAATCCTAAACCATAACCTATAACACCTAATCCTTAACTCCATACCCTAATCCGAAACTGAACCCTAGCCCTAAACCATAACATCTAAACAATAACCCTAACTCAACCCCTAACCATAACCCCTAAATCGTGCACGCTTAACTCTTAATCCCAAATACGAAACTGTTACACTGAAATCGTCACCCCGAATCCCAAATCACAACCCCGAGCCTCTAAACCCCTAACCCTCACCACTAATCCCTGACCTCTTAACCCCTAACTCCGAGATGAAACCCTATTGGAGTGGTGCCCAATAAAATAAAATCAACTGGAATCCCATCAAGTTCTGTGATTGGATAAACATCCTGCTTCACGAGTGATTGAAAACGAATTTCTTTAGAAATTGCTTTTCGCGTTTAGTTTGGTGTCCTTCCCACCCCCGCACCTCCGATTAGCCACGGTTGGCTACGTACGGTGCGACAGAAGTGCAAAAACATAGGTACATCTTCTTCTTGGTTCTTTCGGTAAAGTCACGTAGAAGGGAAGTAATACAATAATAAAAATAAAACAATAAAATAATATGACTTTGAAACCCCCCCGCCCACCTCCTACGCATTTCTCATAACTATGCTAAATTCCTCTTGATATGCAAATTCTTTTGTTAAGGCGCTCTTCTTCCCCCCTCCAACCCAGCTTAAATATACGCTCCAAGCTTGGTGGTGTTTCATTCTTCACCTGAGGACGGCTGCTTGCGTTGTGGCCGAAACGTCGTGAGAATTATTTTATTATGTTTTATTTTTATTATTTTATTACTTCCCTTCTACGTGACTTTACCGAAAGAACCAAGTCACGAAAGTTTTAAATCGAAATAGGTACATCTTGCCTAATTGTGTTATGATACTGATGATTCCTTGTTCATAGGATTACTCCGGTAAACGTTACTCCCAATGGTCATGTTAATTCGGAATGGGTGTCTCTCTCTCTGTGATCGCGTGAATTTTTTCACCGGCTCCTCCGATTTTTCCGTCCCACATTTAGAATCAACAAGGCGCCTTTAGGGGCCGTCCATAAATGACGTCACGCACCTAGGGGGGGGCAGATATTTGTGACGATGTGTGACGAGGGGGGGGTGAGAAATGTGACGTCACATCAACATGCGCAACTTTAAATAAATATAGACAACACGTTCTACTTAATTAAATAGACTTTTTAATAAATGTTTTCTCCTACAACATCAGAGTGCAGCGCCACATTAAATACGCACTACAATGACAATAGTTTAAAGCGATTTGAAGCATGTTTATTTTTTGGGGGGGGGGGGGGGCAGAACTTTGTGACGTCATACTTGAGGGGGGGGTCTGACTTTTGTGACGCCGTGTGACGATGGAGGGGGGGGGGGTCAAAAATCGTCCAAAATCGCGTGACGTCATTTATGGACGGCCCCATAGAAAACGTAGCTGCCGAAAGGCACCAAATCATTTGTCTTCGTCACAATTATGGTTGTTGTTGTGGTTGTTGTTGTTGTGGTTGTTGTTGTGGTTGTTGTTGTTGTGGTTGTGGTTGTGGTTGTTGTTGTTGTTTGACTTGCATCCCACTGGGATTTCTGCACACAGCGTTGGTGTACGGTGCTTTTTTTTCTGCAATATTTTGCTGTCTTTTCTTGGATTTTCTGTTTGCACTCAGTCACATATTCACTTTAAGATGTTTTCTTGTTCATGTTTTTGTTTTTTGTTTGTTGCGGTTGCACCCGATTCAAGAGCCGAATGGCTCACAGGGCTATACCTAATACTGGTAGGAACGAAGTGAACCAGCCTACAATAGATTATATCGTCCGTCCGATGTCCGATTAGGTGTAGCAACATCGCCCCCTACTGCAAACACTTGGCAGGACTCTACAAAAACCTTTAGACCAGCGGTCGGGAACCTATGGCTCGCGAGCCATATATGGCTCTTCCGGTGACAGCATATGGCTCCCAGACAATTTTGAGTTGAAAAAAAATCAGTTTGGAACTGATTTTAAAAAACTTGTAATATTGCTTAATAATACTGTGTCATTTTAAAGTAAACAGAAATTAATTTTGAAGATAAATTTCACGGGTCACGGATCCCGTGACCAGAAGTCGCATTAAAAGTAAGACATATTTAATTTATTATACGTTAAAAATACTATATGGCTCTCAATGAAATATATTTAGAAATATTTGGCTTTTATGGCTCTCCCAGTAAAAAAGGTTCCCGACCCCTGCTTTAGACTCAGTGAGGCTTTCCTGGCTAAACAAGTGTAACATTCTCTTATAATTCCCTGAGATAGTTTTTAATTAAAACATTTAATTTAAAAATTAACTCACAGCGGCCTAAAGCCTACAGCTAAGCCTAAAGCCTAGAACTTGGCCTCAAACTCTCCCTTCGTATCGTACCCCCTGCCATTTCATTTTATTATAGCCATTCATTTGTTCGTTCCTACCAGCCCACCCCGCAGGGACCTGTTTAATGAACTTGAACTTGAAAACTTGAAACAATCATTGCGGGCGGGCGGGCGATGATTGTAACGCGATCTGCCCAGCAGAGGGCAGTGCAGTCCAACTGTGCCAACCCGAGGCTCGGAATCCGCGTGCGACTCTTTATAAAATGTAAACTTAATTTGGAGCTTTCGTGACTGCAGGAATTATTCTTTGGTTCTTTCGGTAAAGTCACGTATCAAGATTAAATAATAAATTAAATTAAATACATCATCATGATTGCTTGTGTTGCAATCGAAACGTCGTATGCTAGTATTTCTTTAAAATTGATTTATTGCTTCGGACCACGTGATTTTATTCAGGAGCGAACGCGTCTCATATTCACCGCATTGCTTTTGCGGCTCTTGAAATATTTACTGTCCGTGATGTCCACGTGGATTACACCCCGACGCCTGTATTTTTAAATCGCGTTTTTTTTTTAAATCCCTCCCAACAGCTGGGCGCTCGGGCTCCCGTAGAGAAGGCGGAAGCGGCGGCGCGACACGTGGAGGCGAGCAGCTGATCAGGAAGAAGCTGCAGCAGCAGCAATATAATCAATATCAGCATTAGCATACCTGTCAACCAATACGGGTTACTCCGTACAGTCTTCTTTTACAGGGGGGGGGGGTCTTCAGGTCTATACCGCGTACAGCCGTTTCAATACGGGCAAAAAAATGATTGTCAATTTGTTTGTATTTCTTCCTTGTGATGGGACTTTGTAGGGTGAACGTTGAGATTTATAAGCAAGAGTAAAAGCAATAGCGGCAACAGTGTAATCGATAACAGCGGATACAGCAGAATCAACATCCTCATCGGCAGGCTCAGTATCAGCAGCAGCATCAACAGCAGCATCAACATCAGAAGCATCATCATCACCAGCCGCACCATCAACATCAGCAGCATCATCAGAAGCAGCATCATCAGAAGCAACATCATCACCAGCCGCATCATCATCGCCAGCAGCACCATCAACATCAGAAGCATCATCAGCATCATCATCAGCAGCATCATCAGCAGCATCAGCATCATCAGCAGCATCCATCAGCAGGTGGTGGTAGCGGTGCAGGATTCGCTGCTCTCCCTCTCTCGGCAATGGACGGGGGGGTTATCCTCCTCCTCCTCGCGGCGGCGCTGGCGGCGGTGCTGCTGCTGATGGTGGCGGTGTTGGTGGCCGTGGTTCGTAGCGGGTCCCGAGTGGCCGTGGGGCCCGGGTCCCCCCCCCTCGTGTGCGTCCTCGTGCTGGGGGACGTGGGTCGCAGTCCCCGCATGACTTACCACGCGCTCTCCCTAGCGGAGCACGGCTTCCAGGTTCGACTACTCGGCTACAGAGGTGACTGACGAGTTTGCGTATCTGTTTAAGCAACAGCGAGGGGGGGGGGGGGGTACCGGATTAAAAGACGCGAAGCTTTTACACCATTGGAACCTCATTTGCCAGTAAAAAAAATATGATAATTGTTTTTTTCAATGGTGTAAATGCTTTACCCTGAGCTCTCATACTCTGATGGTGCCATTTGGCGTCATCTGGTCCAACACCCATGTGAGACTAGGCTCTAAGGAAAGCTGTCTCGGGTGTGGACCAATCAACTTCAAGGACAATGCATACATTATCAGAGTTATGTTTTTTGTTTGCATTATGACTGCAGGTATTGTGGTCTATGCGAACATGACTCCTTGTAAAAAAGGTGTCAGTTTTGTTGCCAGATAAAAGGGTAAAAAAAACAATTATATTTTTTACTGGCAAATGAGGTTCCAATGGTGTAAATGCTTACCCCGAGCTCTCATACTCTGATGGTGCATTGTCTTTGAGTTGTGCGCCTTTTGGCATCATCTGGTCCAACCCATGTGAGACTAGGCTCTAAGGAAAGCTGTCTCGGGTGTGGACCAATAAACTTCAAGGACAATGCATACATTATCAGAGTTGTGTTTTTTGTTTGCATTACGACTGCAGGTATTGTGGTCTATGCAAACATGACTCCTTGTAAAAAAGGTGTCAGTTTTGTTGCCAGATAGAAGGGTAAAAAAAACAATTATCATATTTTTTACTGGCAAATGAGGTTCCAATGGTGTAAATGCTTACCCCGAGCTCTCATACTCTGATGGTGCATTGTCTTTGAGTTGTGCGCCTTTTGGCGTCATCTGGTCCAACCCATGTGAGACTAGCCTCTAAGAAAGCTGTCTCGGGTGTGGACCAATCAACTTCGAGGACAGTGCACACATTATCAGAGTTATGTTTTTTGTTTGCATTATGTCTGCAGGTATTGTGGTCTATGCAAACATGACTCCTTGTAAAAAAGGTGTCGGTTTTGTTGCCAGATAAAAGGGTAAAAAAACCAATTATATGTTTTACTGGCAAATGAGGTTCCAATGGTGTAAATGCTTACCCTGAGCTCTCATACTCTGATGGTGAATTGTCTTTGAGTTGTGCGCCTTTTGGCGTCATCTAGTCCAACCCATGTGAGACTAGGTTCTAAGGAAAGCTGTCTCGGGTGTGGACCAATCAACTTCAAGGACAGTGCATACATTATCAACCCCCCCCCCCCCCCCCCGTATTCTTGTACAGAGGAATTGAATTTTCAGGTCATTACGGTGTACGGCCGTTTTAATACGGGAAACATAATATTTGTTTGTGTATTAGTTTGTGTTTCTCCCTTGTGATGGAACTTTGTAGGATAGACGTTGAGATTTATATGGGACAGGGAGTGACCAATAAGGTCCGAATTGGTCTCTAGTAATGTAGGCACTGATGATAAGCGGTTGCCATGTTTAAGACGCACCCCAAATCTTGCCCGGTCTGTCAAAGTCCTAGACATTTTGGTCTCGCACAACAACAACCGCCCTTCGCCACTTCAAAATTTTTATCGTGGAGATTGAGGCCATCACGTGGAAGTGTGGAAGGCTCTCTGCTCGCGCGAGGTCACACGGGACAGACACAGGTGCCATCATCGGCTTGTCCGAGTTGACTGCCAGACGCACCAGCCGTGGCACGCCCCACTCGTCACCCCGGTGCACGCGCGCACACAAAGACAAAGATCCCCCGTGTAGCCTTCACAGACTGTCGGGGCAAGTGCAGGTTAGCGAGTAGCACCTATGAAGGCCGGCACGGCACACGAGGGGGTGGGTGGCCAGCACCACGCCCGGCCGCTGCCGCCGTTTTGTCTCCCACAGCGGCGATGTTTACACACCGCACCGGGTACTCATTTGATGCTGAGTCGACCTAGGGGAGTCCCAGGCCCGGTTCAGCACACACACTTCTACCCTCACCTGCGCACACTCGCGTTTACACACCCAGGTGTCAGGTTGATTTTGGTTAGCCGGGTGAGAACTCCTGAGACCAGGTTGAGTCTCAATTGCAGAGTGACCTTGATCGCCATTGTGCCACTCTGTATGGTGCCACTTATTGTTTTGCCAAATTTTAAAATGACCCGTGAATTTCTCGATTTTGGAGTTTGCGTGGCATTTTTTGAAAATTGCTACGCACAATGACCCTGAGTTTGCTTGTCACGTGTCTGCGTCTTCCAGGAGCCAAGCCTGCCCAGCATCTCCTGGAGAATGAGCGAATCAGCATTGTCTACCTGCGCGAGAGGATGGGTTGCCCAGGTGTGTGAGGGAGCGGTGGTGCAGCGGTTAGGCTACTCTGCGCTACGAACCCGGGCATCCGAGTTCGATTCCTGCTCACGGCCAACACCGGTGACGATTATATTATCTGAACCGGTTCTGGGCCTCCCCTAGGTCGACTCGGCCTCAAATGAGTACCTGGTGCGGTGTGTAAACATCAGCACTGTGGAGTCTATGAATGTGGCGAGGCGTGGTGCTCGCGCCCTCGCCTCGTGTGCCCTGCCAGCCTTTGTAGGTGTTCGCTGACAGCACTTACCCCAACAATGCATTCGGGGTCAGGGTTGTCATTGTTAAACACATCTCTGCGGAGGGAGCTGGTAGGAACGTTGGGTTGCTCGGTCAATGGCCAGGGTCAACGGCGGCGTGGTCTATTCCGCAAATATGCCCGACTGTGAGGGCGGGCACAAGCCGGCGTGAGTAGGTTAAACGTTGAGTTTTATAAGGGCACCACGGGGTGACCAGCCTCTCCCCACCCAACTCCACCCTCCCCACCCAGCCCCTCCCCAGACCCTACCCACCCAGCACCACCCACCCAGCCCATCCCCACCCAGCCCCTCCCTGCACGACGGACGGACACAATAATCCCCTATGGAGTAGTGTAACCAGGAGTTTCTTCCCAGTACAACACTGATGCTGTGGTGCTCTAGACCTGCAGTCGTTGATGGCGGTACGGCGTAGTTCTGTGCCATTTAGGTCTTTTGCTTTCTGAAGAAGCTCCCAGTACGTGGAGCGGAAACGTCGGACATTGTGGTGCCAAACGGCACGCGGTGACGACCGCACTATTGTTGTTGACGATATGGTTGTTGTGGTTGTTGTGGTTGTTGTTGTTGTTGTTGCTAGTCGGACCCCGCCTGCTACGCTACGTCAGCAAGGTCCTGCTCCAGGCCCTGCAGCTGGCGTGCACCCTGCTGCTGCACGAACCACGGCCCCAGTGGCTCCTGCTGCAGGTGAAGCAGCTTTATAGCTCATTGGATTCCTCCAGTAAAAAAATATTGGTTGCGGTCTTGGGTCTCCCCTAGGTCGGCTCGGCCTTAAATGAGTACAGTACTTGGTGCGGTGTGCGAGCAGCCGAACCGAGGAGACGCAGGCTGGCCACACGACCTCCTCGTGCGCCGTGCCGGCCTTAATAGGTGCTCACTAACAGCACTTTGACAGGCAGTCGGCACAGGTGTGTGTGTGGTGGGGAGGAGGTGGAGGTGGACCTGTGGCACGGAGGCCAGAGCGTCAGGCCCCGCACCGCCAAGGGTCTGGGTTCGAATCCGGGTTTAAGTCAACCCGTGATGAAGCCAGAGTTGTCGATTTTTTGTTTAACCAGAGCGAGAACTCAAAAAGAGACCGGGACAGGAGCCCCATTTGCAAGGGTGACCTGGGTCACCACTGACGACACGAAAAACACATCCCTTGATTTGGCAAAATGAGAATTAAGTAGATGGGTTTCACGGTCACGGGAAGAACATTACTCTCTGTAGCAGGCCAAGTGACAAAGTGTCGCACTGCCTCATGCGTGTCGTATGATGGCCATGCTGCTGCTGCTACCGCATCTGCTCCTTCAACTGCTGCGGTGGCTAGATGTTGCCGGAGGTCGTGGGTTCGATCCAGACCCCCGACGCCTCTATATTTGGAGTTTGCATGTTCTCCCCGTGGTGGCGGGGATTTTTCCCCCAGGGTCCTTCGGTTTTTCCCCCCACGTTGAGAATCAACATGCGTCTAAGAGTATTTGGCTGCTGTAAATGTCCACGCGACAAGCCACTTCGTTGACCTGTCATTTGCGGCCGGGTCAAAGTGCTACGTAGCTCAGTGGGGCTTTACCTGGTAAAATTATAGTTTCGTCGTTAAGTTTAAATAGTTTAGTTTGCGGTATGTGTGTGTGTCTGCTGCTGCCGTTTCACGGGTGATATTTTCACCGCCACCGCCCCCTCTTCACCTTCTCCCAGAATCCCCCGGGGCTGCCGGCCATGGCGGTGTCGTGGTTCTGCTGCCGCGTGCGTGGTGCCCGCCTTGCCGTCGACTGGCACAACTACGGCTATACCATCATGGGGCTGAGCTTGGGGGGGGAGCACCCCCTCGTGCGGGTGGCGAGATGGTACGATCTGCTACAAACGCCAAAGAAAAATCGTGCGTGCGTGGGCCGTGGATTCTTGTTAACGCTTTCAAAAACGTGTCCTTGGAAGTATTTTAACTGTCAATAACATCGTTTTTATAATGCGTTAAGCCACACGAGATGACGTCTCGTGTAATGACACCATCGGTTGGCGCAGAGAGACGACGCTTCCTTTGAGCGCTGTTTTTTATTTAAACCTATTGATCACTTTTGGCTTGTCCATGCCCCCCGCCTGCCCATGCCCTCCCCCCCCCAGGTACGAGGGCCGTGCGGGGCGGCTGGCCGATGCGCACCTCTGCGTGACCTCCGCAATGCGGCACGACTTGGAGAAGACGTGGGGCGTGCAGTGAGTGCCGCTTGCGCACCGCCCCCATCTCACACACACAAAGACAAAGATAAAGATCCCTCATATAGCCTTAACAGACTGTAGGGGCAAGTGCTGTTAACGAGCACCTACAAAGGCCGGAACGGTACACGAGGGGGTGGGTGGCCAGCACCACGCCCGACCGCCTTTGTCTCCCCACTGGCGATGTTTACACACCGCACCAGGTACTCGTTTGAGGCTGAGTCGATCTAGGGGAGGCCCGGGACCAGTTCAGATAATCGCCACTGGTGTTGGCCATGAGCAGAAATCGAACCCGGGTCGCCAGGTTCATAGCGCAGCGCGCTAACCACTACACTCCCGCTCCCCACACACACACACGTACCGCCACGCACCCACAACCGCGCACATACCGCACGCGCAACACGTGCCGCCTCCATCGCACGCGGCACGCACACGAGCGCACGCTGTGACCGCCCCTCCCCGACCCGCGTGGCGTGCGGTGCGCAGGGCGGTGGCGCTGCACGACCGTCCTGCGGAGGCCTTCCGCGAGACGGCGCTGCACGAGCAGCACGAGCTGCTCACCCGCCTGGGCCTGCAGCACGCCGCCTTCGCACCCCCCTCCTCCTCCTCCTCACAGTAACACACTCACCTCACTCACCTCCTCCTCACAGTAACACGCTCACCTCCTCACTCACCTCCTCCTCCTCACAGTAGCACGCTCACCTCCTCCTCACAGTAACACGCTCACCTCCTCCTCCTCACAGTAACACACTCACCTCCTCCTCCTCACTTCCTCCTCCTCACCTCCTTCTCCTCCTCACCTCCTCTCTCTTCTCACTCACCACCTCCTCCTCACAGTAACACGCTCACCTCCTCCTCACTCACCTCCTCCTCACTCACCTCCTCACCTCCTCCTCCTCACTTCCTCCTCCTCCTCCTCCTCCTCTTACTCACTCACTCACTCACCTCCTCCTCACCTCCTCCTCCTCACCTCCTCCTCCTCACCCACCCACCTCACTCACCCACCCACCCACCTCACTCACCCACCACCACCTCCCCCTCACTCACCTCATCCTCACTCTTCTCGCTCACCCACCTCACTCACCCACCCACCTCACTCACCCACCCACCTCACTCTCCCACCCCCACCTCCCCCCCACTCACTTCCTCTTCCTCACTCACCTCCTCTCCCTCCCTCTACTCCTCCGCCTCACTCCCCTATCCACTCTACACTCGTGGTCACGCCAAAACGCAGCGAGGCGGCACAACGGGGAGCACAGCTGGTGCATCCGCCGGTCATCTGAGCCGGTCAACGCATGCCACCGGGGTCTGCCCCGTGACCTCCAGAGAGCCTTCGACACTTGGACGTGGCCTCAAAGTGCACCTAGCCTGGCACAAGCACCGTGGTGACGTCACCGCGGTGGTCGGCGCGTTGCGCTACGAACCCGGCGAGCCGAGTTTGGTTCCCGCTCACGGCCACCAACGCCAGTGACGAAAATCTGAACTGGTGCTGAGCCTCCTCTAGGTCGACTTAGCCTCAAATGAGTACCTGGCGCGACGTGTAAACATCGCCGCTGGGAAGACAAAGGCGGCCGGGTATGGGGTAAAGCCACCCAGCCCCTCAGCTTCGTAGGTGCTGCTCGTGGACAGCACTTGCCCCAACAGTCTGCGAAGGCTATACGGGGGATCTTTGCCTTTGTGAGCCCTTGTGATCCCCCCGCCCCCCGAGGCGCCCCCGACCCCCCCACCCCCCCACCCCCCCACCCCCCCACCCCACGTCTTTGATGAGAGCGCCCGGGCGGCCCTAACGAGCGCGGCCCCCCCCCCCCTCGCCGCCGTGACTCACCCGCTCGTTATCCCTCCTCGCCAACCCCAGACACCTTTGCTCGCGATCAATCATTCAGTGGTGAGCGGTGACCGTGGCACGGCTGGTGGGTGGTGAGTGGTGACTGTGGTGAGTGGTGAGTGGTGACAGTGGTGAGTGGTGACTGTGGAACGTGGTGAGTGGTGACAGTGGTGAGTGGTGAGTGTGGAACGTGGTGGTTGGTGAGTGGTGAGTGGTGACAGTGGTGACTGTGGAACGTGGTGAGTGGTGATCGTGGTGAGTGGTGAGTGGTGAGTGTGGAACGTGGTGGTTGGTGAGTGGTGAGTGGTGACAGTGGTGAGTGGTGACTGTGGTGAGTGTGGAACGTGGTGGTTGGTGAGTGGTGACAGTGGTGAGTGGTGACAGTGGTGAGTGGTGACCGGCGGTTGCTGTGTGCATGGCAGGATGCGGAGTGAGCCTGGCGTGGAGCTGACTGCACTCACCGAGCGCAGCGTGGACGGCACGCGGCGCCTCCCTGACGGCCCGGCGCTCCTCGTTAGCAGCACCAGCTGGACCGGCACGTACCACGCACGGCCTGGCCATCCTAGCCACGCCAGCCCAATCCCAGCCACGCCAGCCCAATCCCAGCCACGCCAGCCCAATCCCAGCCACGCCATCCCAATCCCAGCCACGGCATCCCAATCCCAGCCACGCCAGCCCAATCCTAGCCACACCAGCCCAATCCCAGCCACGCCAGCCCAATCCTAGCCACGCCAGCCCAATCCCAGCCACACCAGCCCAATCCTAGCCACACCAGCCCAATCCCAGCCACGCCAGCCCAATCCCAGCCACACCAGCCCAATCCTAGCCACGCCAGTCCAATCCTAGCCACACCAGCCCAATCCTAGCCACGCCAGCCCAATCCCAGCCACACCAGCCCAATCCTAGCCACACCAGCCCAATCCTAGCCACGCCAGCCCAATCCCAGCCACACCAGCCCAATCCTAGCCACACCAGCCCAATCCCAGCCACGCCAGCCCAATCCCAGCCACACCAGCCCAATCCTAGCCACGCCAGTCCAATCCTAGCCACACCAGCCCAATCCTAGCTACACCAGCCCAATCCTAGCCACGCCAGCCCGGTCACCCACCGCTGTCGTGTAGACACAAATTCTCTCGACCACACAAGACAATGCTGCTAACCACACGCGCCAGGGTTAGGTGCTAGCAAACGACCCTTGCCCCAAAAGTCTGTGAAGGCTATACGGTGGGGGGGAAGGCAGGGGAGGCCTTTGTGTTGAGCCTGAACGTTTTTCATGCCGATTGCGCCGCTGTTGGCGTCGGACAAAGATCCCCCGTATAGCCTTAACAGACTGTTGGGGCAAGTGCTGTTAGCGAGCACCAATGAAGGCCATTGCCCGAAACGTTGCCTGGTATACACGTTTCCTTTTAGAGGCCACACAGTGGTGTTGACGAACGTGTTTAAATCATAATCGGGCCTCGTTTTATCGCGGACTGTGCAGTTTTCGACTTTGAAAAAAAAATAATCCCGAGCAAAAACTCCAAACTCTCGGGGCCTGGAAGCGAACACCTGGGTGTGGTTGCGGTGACGAGGAGTGACACTCGCTCTCTCTCTCTCGCTCTCTCTCTCGCTCTCTCTCGCTCTCTCTCTCGTTGTCGTCGTTGCGATGTTTCCGTTTTGATCCACGGCACCTTCGATCGCGCAGAGGATGAAGATTTCTCCATCCTGCTCAAAGCGCTGGAAGGTAAGGCCTGGGAACGCACACACGTGCACACACACGTGCACACACACGTGCACAAACACACACACGTGCGCACACACGTGCGCACACACGTGCACACACACGTGCGCGCACGCTCGCAAAGACAAAGACCCTTCCCACCGTATCGCCTGCAACTGACTGTTGGGGCAAGTGCTGTTAGCGAGTAGCACCTATGAAGGCCCGCACGGCACACGATGGGGTGCGTGGCCAGCACCACGCCCAACCGCCTTTGTCTCCCCAGTGATGATGTGTTTACGCCGCACCAGGTACTAATTTGAGGCTGAGTCGCCCTAGGGGATGCCCAGGACCGGTTCAAACCACTGTGCCACTGCTCCCCTTACACACCTGCAGCCCTTTTTGCCGATCCACTGCTGGATGGAGAGCGTTTGTGAATCTGATTTTTGTTTTCTGTCCACCACCTCCCCCCCTCCCCAACACAGACTACGACCGCAGGAAGTCAGAAGGGACGCCCCTCCCCGCGCTGCTCTGTGTCATCACAGGTGCGTCCGCCAACCACCCCCTCCATCCACCCCACACTAACCTCACCCCCCACCCCCATCCCACTCCGACGAACCCCCGCCGTCTTGGCACGGGTCGAGGAAATAATTGTCAAAATTGAAAAAAATGTGAGCAATAATTCGCACCTCCGATTGGCGCGGTTGGCCGCTAACGTTGCGAAGGAAGTTCTCCGTGCACCGAGTAGATCGGAGTTGTTGACTGCAAGGTTCGCAGGCCACTGGCGGCCCTCCCCCGACCCCACCCCCGACAGCGCACGAACGCGCAAACTCCCCCATCGTGCCGCCAAACCCGATCGCTTCAAACGCGCGGCGTCCCCTCGCGTCGAAAATCGGTGGGCACCGGAGTGGAGACTTGGCCCAACAGCACGCTGAAGGCCGTGTGGGTTGGGGCCGTTTGTCTGCGTGCGTGCGTGCGGCGGTGCAGGCCGCGGGCCGCTGAAGAGCCGCTACGAGGCTGAGATGGCGTCTCTCCACCTGCGCCACGTCTCGTTCTGCACGCCCTGGCTCCAGGCCGAGGACTACCCCCGGCTGCTCGGTGAGAGGCCTACTGCTGCTGCTGCTGCTGCAGCTGCTGCTGCTCCTGCTGCTGCTGCACCGCGCCTGGCACCAGCCGGAGGCTCGCCGGCGGGGGGGGCGGTGGTTGAGGCAGTGGTGATGGGGGTGGTGCTATTGTTGTTACCTGGAGAGTGGTGGTTTGTGATGGTGGGACCTAGATGGTGGCGGTGTTTAGTCTGACGTGGTGACGTCGGCGCCACTTAGTGGGGAACGGCGATTATCATTGTGTGGCGGTGAGTAGCGGTGAGTGTAGCGGTGAGTGTAGTGGTGTAGCGGTGAGTGTAGCGGTGAGTGCACAGCGCTCCGAAGCTGGCGACCAGTAATTCGATTCCCGCTCACCGCCAACACCACTGACGATTATCTGAACCGGTCCTGGGTCTTTCCTAGGTCGACTCGGCCTCAAATGAGTCCCCGGTGCGATACGTAAACATCGCCACTGGGGAGACAAAGGCGGGCCGGGCATGGTTGCTGGCCACCCGCAGCCCCCTCGTGTGCCGTGCCGGCCTTCATAGGTGGTGCTGCTCGCCCAACAGCACTTGCCCCGACAGTCTGTTAAGGCTACACGGGAGACCTTTGTGTGTGTGTGACATGTAGGGGCGGCCGACCTCGGGGTGTGCCTGCACAAGTCTTCGAGTGGGCTCGACCTGCCCATGAAGGTGGTGGACATGTTTGGCTGCTGCCTGCCCGTGTGTGCCGTCTCCTTCCCGTGGTGAGCCGCATTCAGGGAGCCGCCCTTCAGTGTGGCCCACACAGCCTGTTGGGGCAAGGCCTGCGGGTGGGCGAGTAGCGCCCTATCTATGCAGGGCAAGCATGGTGTGCTTGCTGGTGGCGGGTGTGTGGTGGGGTGTGTGGCGGTGGGTTGTGGAGTGTGTTGAGGGGTGGCATTTTGGCGGAGCGTGCATGGGGGGGGAAGGGGGTGGGAGGGGGTTTTGGGGGAAGGGAAATACACCACACCTTGCTACCTTTGTCTCCACAGTGGTGATGTTTTACACTGCGTTAGTATATCTGATTAGCATGGCTGCGTACAACTCGCTAAGGGGGGCCCGGACCAGTTCAGATGTTCCTCACTGATGTTGGCCTTAAGTGGGAATTTAACCGTGGCCACTGGGTTCATAGTGCAGTGTTGCCATCCACTGTGCCACTTCTCTCCCATGGTTTGTATCCATTGTGTTGTGGGTCACGCCATTACCTCCCACGACTGCCGAGGAGGAACCGACCTAACGGGGAAGGGGGAGCAGCCAACAGTTGCCCGAGCTCTGCGCTTCTCTATACATCAAGATGTTTTTCGGCCAATTGCTGACGGGCTTTATTCCTCTGCTTGTGTGCGCGCCGGTGGCAGCCTGCACGAGCTGGTGCAGCACGGGGAGAACGGACTCGTCTTCTCAGACTCGCGGGAACTCGCCCAGCAGCTGGAGGTGACTCACGGCAACCACTGGGGGGAGCCCTCTGCTCCACTCGCACTGCCCGCCCCAGAGGCCTTTGTCAAGTGGCCCCCAGGCAGCACACGTACGCTGCTCGGTTTCATCTCTTGAGGTTACACACAGGGGATCTTTGTCTTCGTGTCGCTTGTGTGCAGATGCTGTTGGCTGGGCCTGCCGACCAACGGCACCAGCTGGCTCGTTTCCGCGCCCGCCTGCGCGTCTGGCAGCAGCAGCGGTGGCGTGAGAACTGGACGCGGGTGGTCCTGCCCGTGCTGCTGGCGCCGTGATCGCCAGTGCTGCGATGGCAGCGTTCCGGCTGTGCTAGGTTCCGGCCACGCCGCGTTCGGGAACACCACTGCCGAGCCTGCCAAAGTCCAGCACGGCCCCTCCATCGCACCGTCTCTCCGTCGCACCGCCGAGTTTATTCCAGGGGTGCTGCGGACGACTGGCATGCAAGGAGGCTCATGTCGTGGCCGCAAGACCGGAGAAGTTGGATTGGGTCCACTGGCGATGTCCAATGGACCAATGACAACTGACGGAGCAGCGAGAGTGAAATGGAACTGGCGAAGTTGGGGGTCGCCGTGACGGGAGTAGGATTGTGCCTAATGGCTTTCCCACATTTGTGCGGTCATTACCGCTGGGTGTTTTTATCAGGATGCTCAATGGGGACCTGTTTGCGATGAGTCACGTCTACACCTGCGGGCCGTTTCCTCTTCCGGTCTTCGTGGTACATCAGGTGTTGACCGTTAATGCGTAAATACATGTTTGTTTACGGTTGCGAATATTGTGTTCCTGCACTAAACGGGGTTCGGGTTATAAAGGAGGGCCTCATACCTTCAACAGCCAGCAGCAGCCAATTCACGATCGATGACCCGGCCACACGCCGCTGATGAGACGGAGACGTTGAAACCCGCCCAAGACTTGCCGCTTAAAACAAATGCCGATGGAATATTGGTGCCCAATGATGGACTATGATTGTGGTGGAACCACCCCATGTTGTTGTTTATAAATACTGTACAGTAGCCATGATGTTGTTACACTATTGTAAAATACAGCAGAATGTGAACCTTGGGACGTTGAGTGTCCAACTACAAGTCTTCCTGCAAGCTCTTCGTGATGGGTCGAGGCAAGGCCTAGATCCCCACGCATCCAACCCCCATATCGTTTGGGACTGAGTCAAACCAGTCAGACCATCGTCTGACCTGGGCCACTTTATTTGTTAAATGGAAAAGCTTGAATAAGGGAGGGCTTTCCACTCAAAGACGTTTCTCGTCTGGGAAACCAAACCCACCTCGTGGCACATATGCCCATTAACTCCATGGTGCCTGTAATGAATTTGTGATTGTGTGTGACATTGATGGCAATTGGTGACTGAAACTGAGCTGGACCTCTAAGTAAACAGGCGCGAGTATGATTGATAGACTTGCCCCTGCCAGAGAAATGTGGAATTGATACTCCGGACTCGGATGGATGTGAACGGATGGAGTAACCACCTCGGAGTTACTTTGAGCAGAACATCGCTGCGATGCTCGTGTGAGGAGTCTGCCGTGTGACGGGGAAAAGGGCCCACAATCGTTGGCATTATATTTTAAAATCTGACTTTTTTCACATCATATTTGACAAAAGCCTGAACACTCAATAATTAAAAAGGCTCTTAGAAACCCAAATTAGGGACTAAAAGTGGTTAATCAATTTCATGTTGCGGATACATTTAATTCCAGTGATGGAAGTAATTATCATGGCTCACATCGTCCTGAATGGTTTTTATCGAGGTTTCTGAGAAACATGGGTGGTGGCTCAACAACAATAGTTACAATTTGCAGGCCTTTGTCAACAACCCTTATATTTCACTTTATGTATCCAGGAGAGCCACGCTGAGTCGTAGGGAATCTCTTTCAGGAGGGTTCTGCATTTTTTAAATCCTTTATATTAAGTTCGCTTGCTTGCTTGCGTGCTTGCTTGCGACCGTGCAAATCTTCCGGTCGTTTTTTAACCCACTTCCCGTGATCCAATCGAGCTGACATTTTGCACACAGACTCGTTGTGCGTGACAATGCATTTTCGTGAAAAAAATTTTTCCAAAATTTTACACTGTTTAGGGAATTTTTTTAAATATTTAATTACCAATTGTTTAATGCTGCCAGACAATCATCTGACCCATAGGTGGCAGCCATCTCAAGCCAGAGGACGAGAGGACTCTAGCTGCCCCGATGCCACGCATATAAAGGATTTATAGTGAAAAACTTTGTTTTTACGGGTTAATTTTTTTTCATATCTTTTCAACCAATCATTGTTCAGCCAGGTGGGAGGAAACCAGAAACACCCGGAGAAAATTCACGCACGCGAGGGGCCAACGCTCCACCTCCGTACAGATGGAAACCGATGGCAATTAGTCCACTTGCACCGCCCTACGCTGGCGAGCCAAGGCACGGCGCCTCGTCGACGCCGACGAGAAGGGGGTTCCGCATCATCTGTGCGGTGATCCACCAACTTCTCACTTGCCTCCGGAGTGCAGGATCACAGACTGCCACGTGCATAGCCACCACTGCCCGGCGTATCCCCCCCCCCCCCCCCCCCCCCAGAGGTCGCAACTGGGTACCCGATACCCTACCCGATACCCGGCTACCCGTACCCTACCCGTACGGGTACCCGTTTGCAACCCTGGTGCGGCCGGGTACGGGTACGAGTAGACCGTGAGTCCGTGAGTCACTGGTGAGTAACTGTTTGTCACTCATTTCCCAACGTCTTGTCTCTTCTCACAATTCAAGTTCCTAGAATCAACCCACCCGCGCCTGCAACATGGCTTCATCCCAGAGGTCGCAATCAGGTACCCGATACCCTACCCGTACCTGGCCGGGTACGGGTACCCGTTTGCGACCCTGGTGCGGCCGGGTACGGGTACGAGTAGACCGTGAGTCCGTGAGTCACTGGTGAGTAACTGTTTGTCACTCATTTCCCAACGTCTTGTCTCTTCTCACAATTCAAGTTCCTAGAATCAACCCACCCGCGCCTGCAACATGGCTTCATCCCAGAGGTCGCAATCAGGTACCCGATACCCTACCCGTACCCGGCCGGGTACGGGTACCCGTTTGCGACCCTGGTGCGGCCGGGTACGGGTACGAGTAGACCGTGAGTCCGTGAGTCACTGGTGAGTAACTGTTTGTCACTCATTTCCCAACGTCTTGTCTCTTCTCACAATTCAAGTTCCTAGAATCAACCCACCCGCGCCTGCAACATGGCTTCATCCCAGAGGTCGCAATCAGGTACCCGATACCCGTACCCTACCCGTACCCGGTTGGGTACGGGTACGGCCGGGTACGGGTACCCGTTTGCGACCCTGGTGCGGCCGGGTACGGGTAAGGAATCAAAACCCGTTTGCGACCTCTGCCCCCCCCCTCCCTGCCATGTTCGACTGGGGTTGTCCAACCACACCTCACGTAGGTGAGTGAGGCGATGGCCCGAGGATGAGTCCGGACGTGGCCAGGAACCGTGGCCGCGACCCGCAAGGTTGCTGGGTTCATAGCCCAAGCGCTGTGCCACCGCTCCACCCCAGGTGGGTGCTTTCAGGTGTTGAAGAGACGATATTACAGTTTCAATAATGAAACACGATTTTCGTGGCCAATTTTAAAAGGTGCCGAGTGTACCATCGGTTTAGATCGATTATCCCAGCGTGGCAGTTGAAACGACGGTGCGCCTCAAATTCAACATTCCTCTCCCCAGCAGTCTCCTAACACCACCACCCAGCAATGTGTGAATGTGGACACCAAGAGTCGATCGGCAATTCACGTGTGGTGGGGGACAGTGTAGGGTCCTCCCAGCTCTGGCCAGTGTGGAAGAGTAGATCAAAAATACTCTGTCGGGGCTTTGACAGAGCTCCGTTTCGTGGAGGTCCGTCCACTAGCAGTGACGTTTGCACAATCGCAAGCAGGGCAGCTCAGGGGTTCTTAGAGGCTCACTTTGAGGCCCTCGCTTGTACGAGGCGTGGGCAAATTATCACTTCCCCCAGAGGTCGCAATCGGGTACCCGATACCCGTACCCTACGCGATACCCGGCTACCCGTACCCGGCCGGGTACGGGTACCCGTTTGTGACCCTGGTGCGGTCGGGTACGGGTAGGCCGTGAGTCACTGGTGAGTAACCGTTTGCCACTCATTTCCCAACGTCTTGTCTCTTCTCACAATTCAAGTTCCTAGAATCAACCCACCCGCACCTGCAACAAGGCTTCATCCCAGAGGTCGCAATCGGGTACCCGTACCCTACCCGTACCCGGCCGGGTATCGGGTAGGGTACGGGTAACCCGTACCCGTTTGCGACCCTGGTGCGGCCGGGTACGGGTAAGGAATCAAAACCCGTTTGCGACCTCTGCCTCCCCCCTCCTCATCCTGTCCCCCACCCCTCCGACCCACGCCGGGCTACACCTTTACCCAAACCCGACAGTTCAATCCGACACTCGATCGCCGCCGTCTCCTGCCAGCAGCAGAACAAACACTCGGCTCTTTCGCTCGTCACCACCGTACATCCCCACGACAAGTTTATTAGAGAAATGTCACAGCTACAACGGGAACAGCAGCAGCAGCAGAAACCCATAAGGCATGGGGGGCAGGGAGCCTTTTTCCTTACCGAGGGATAAACTGGGACTTTCAAATTACCTTTGGCGGGCAATGATAAATGAACATACAGCTTGGCTTTACCATATAACAACACATTTTGTACGTGCAGGAGGCTCTTGACAAGCGACTCGGCGAATTTATACCACGAGAAACACGAGCGTTGTCACGTTGAAAATGCTCCTTACCCCCAGTGCCCGATGCTCGCAGCGAAGATGCTCGCGGCGACGGTAGGTAAATGTCGTTTGCGGGTGCTGGTTGAGAAGGGGTTGGCCTCACGTGGCCGCGGGAGTCATGTGAAATGGAAGTCTCGGATCGCGTCCGGCCCGTGGGTCAAACTTCCCCGTACCCTGCCATACGGCAACGAACACGTGCCAAACTCATTTTCAGAGGGAGGGGGAGGGGCGCTTTCGCCGATAAGACATTTCGATTTAAAGCTTTCGTGACTGCAGGGATTCATCTTCTTGGTTCTTTCGGTAAAGTCACGTAGAATGTAAATAATAAAATAATAAAAATATAACTATTAAATTCTCACGACGTTTCGGCCACAACGCAAGGACGGCTGCTTGCGTTGTGGCCGAAACGTGAGAATTTTTTTATTTTTTATTAAATCCATTCTACGTGACTTTACCGAAAGAACCAAGAAGAAGACATCATCCGTGCGAGGGCCGTCGCACCATTTGAAACCATTGGGGGTTTGACAGCAGCACGATGATGGTGGGGGGGGTGTTCTCACTGGTTGTGTATTGTTGGGGGGGGGCGCATGTCAGTGCCTTGGCAATGACGAACACGAATCAACACTCGCGTCTAACATGGCAACGCTCCTCCATGCGCTCACACGAGCGTGGGCCCATCAATCTAGGTGGAAATTCCACATTACTATGCCGGGGACCAGACTAAGGGTTGAGAGGCTGAGTCGCACCTTGACCAGGATTTTAACTTGCAGACCTGATCGTTGCTTTGCACGAATTATTATTCTTGTGAGCTCCCTTTATTTATCGAGGAATGATTCTGTGTTTTGTGCATGTTTGGACGGTTTCCTTCAGAATTATCCTGAACATTGGAGGACACCAGAGCACCCAGAGAAACCCCACGCACCACGAGGGGGATACAACACCCGCACAGTCATCGAACAAAGACGGCATGCCTCATCGCGCGGCGCTTTCAGAGGCGCTTCTGCGGCCGTCTGGAACGCTCTTCCGATATCGGGAAGCCGCTGGGAGCTGTGCACTTTTAAATCATCTCGATTGAAAACTCATTTCTTTGCAACTGCTCTTTGTCTTTAGTTTGCCGTCCCTCCCCCCCCGCCCCCGCCGCACCTCCGATGAGTTCGTTGGCTGCGTACTGTGCGGAAGAAGTTCAACGCACCGTGCACACGAGAGGCTCGCGGTGCCTGGGCGTGGCGCTCCGGTGCCGGAACTCGCGCGTGCGCCACACTGCGCCGGCCATCCCACGGGACGGGCTCCATGGAATTTGTGCAAAAAATAAAATCGCCAACGGTAAGCGGGGAAGCGTACAAAGTCGCCGCTCGACGTTTCGGGCGAGCGGCCTAGCTGAGCATACTCCTTTGTAGAATAGCCACATTTCAATACAATGTTACGTTTTTATATATGCATATAATATGTAGAGAGGACGTTTAAACGTAACGTTAACAACAAAAATCCTATTAGGTTCACAAAAGTAAAAAAAGAAATCGAAATCAAATCTCTCGGGCCACCTGTGCCATGACACGCACGCCACGCCACGCGGCTCGGCAACGGCCGGGAACAATTCCAGCTGCTGGAGACCAGGGGGCTGTGCTCCTGGGTTTTCATGACGTGCCCCACCATAAAGTCCGACGTTCTGCTGAAGAGGCTTCTTCAGGATGCTAAGAAAGCTGCCAGAACGTGACGGCCGCGCGCCGCCCAACTGAACCACTCGCAAAGGAGACGACGCGCGTGCGTGTGCGTGTCGGGATAAACATTGGAAGAATCTATGCACACGGACGGTCTTCCTTCACGACACTCGGCGTGCTGCGTGCGTGCGCGTGCGGCCAACGGCGAAGGGGACCCGAGGAACACGTTTCATTCGCTTATTGCAAGACGCACGCATCGTTAAATACCACCAACGGGTTCAAAGCCCTACGGTCGCTCGGAAGCAGAGATCCAACGCTCCAGTACTTGCGGACCACCACACAGGCTCCAGCCAACGCCCCCACCCCCCACCCCACCAGAGCTTTGTCTTCACGTGAATCGGCACTCTCCACATTACGTGGGCTGCACACGTAAAGACAAAGGTCCCCCGTGTAGATTACACGAGCTGTTGGGGCAAGTGCTCTGAGCGAGCAACTATTTAGGTCGGCATGGCACGCGAGTTGAAGGGGGGAGGGGTGGCGTTGCCAGCACCACGCCCGGCCGCCTTTGTCTCCCCAGTGCTGAGTCAACGAGGCCCAGGACGGACTGCAAGGGCTGGAGTTTCGTCTCGTTATCGTGTGCGTATGTTACAGTATATATTAACCAATTATAAACATTTAAAAACCTGTCGACGTCAGGATGGAAATTAAGGTAATGTGATCTACAACCACTAACGATGATGATGATGACGTTGCCGACTGTGATCCTCATGACTAGGCATGTATTCCCTCCCACACCCCTCCTTAGCGATTCAATAATCTCACAATTCAAGGTCACGGATCGATTAAACTATCAACTATCCTGCTCGTTTCTATCGCCCGTCATTTTCGCGATGTCTGTCTCGTCCGTCCTGTCCGTGCCGTTTGTCCTGTGCGCACGGCTTCTTAACCTGTCGCCAAATATGTTTGTCCAAGTCGCTGCTCGACTGGAGTGGGGGCATCACGTGACTAGTAGTCGCCACGGCCATAGCGACATGTCTACCTGGTGCGGCGGTGCCAACTTGAGACAAACGCAGCTGAAATGACTCCCCGCTTGAATGTACGATCTGTCCCGTCTAATTTTGCTGTAGTCGTTAATAAATCAAGATCTTATCCCGAAAGCACATTCGGCATCGTGTCACGAGACAGAGAATCCATTGCAATTTCTCCCGGAGTGTTAGAAAACGTCCCGTGGAAGCGGCTATAACAGAGCTACCTCCGAGACCCATGCTCCACATGACCTCTGGTCCGCACAGCAGAGATGACGGCCCGTCTATCCTGTCCGCATCCTACGCTGCGTCACGTCCGTTCCGTTAGCGCGAAACGAAAATTGCCTACAATTTCTAGAACATTTTGCATAAATTGTCAGCAATCGATTCTCTTGCGCACGAGTGCGTTGTGGGCCTGAGAACCGATTCCAATTGACGGGACGATGAATGGGCTACATGCGTAGTTATAACCGGATCACAATGATGATGACGACAACGACGATGACGACGACGACGACGCTGATGATGTCACTGCAGATTGCTGGAGCCACGTGTCCCCACCGGTCGACCCCCGGCTGCCGACACCTGCATCCCCTCCAGCAGCGGCAGAATCATCTGTCCAAATGGGCTGCGCACCAACAAAAAAACAACCAAGGTAAACACAGATGCAAAGATCCCCCACACTTAGCCTCTCCGTAGACTCTTGCGTAAGCAAGCGCTGTTAGCGAGCAGCTATGAAGGCCAGCACGGCTCCAGAACGGTGCCTGGCCGTTTTTGTCTTCCCCGGTACGCCGATCTTCGCACACTGCACTGGGTACTCATCAAAGACCGATATGAACCTAGGGGACGGCCTTGGACCGGGTCACATTCGTCACCGATGTTGGCCAAGAGGGTAACACCCCAACGACCACTGCGTGTGCATACACAAGCGTGGGGAGGTTCCGCACCGCTCGTACGGATTAGAGGCAAGCGGAGGGACCTCAAAAGTAGTCCCGTGGCATCGTCTTGCAGAGGGGCGCTATCTAAACACGGAGTGATTCGCTGCTTTCTGCGCGAGTTTCCAATCGACAATTCGTCGTCTAGCAACACCGTGACATCTACAGCACAATTGTAAAGTAATGGGAGAGTAAAAATACTCACTTATGAAACCAACTTCGATTAACTTTCAACTAACTGGGGTGACATGGCGGAGATGGGGGGGGAGTCCCAATACAACAAAATGATAAATAATGTTAGACATAGTGTATAGGGCTCTGGCAGCATGTTTATTTTTCGATTTAAAGCTTTCGTGACTGCAGGGATTCATCTTCTTGGTTCTTTCGGTGAAGTCACGTAGAATTGAAATAATATAATGTTTTATTTTTATTATTTTATTATTTCCATTCTACGTGACTTTACCGAAAGAACCAAGAAGAAGCATGTTTATTGTTCACCTACATAGCACGCGCCTGTGTGTAGATCGCTTCGTAGAGTAATCGGTTCGCGTGCCGACGAGCTCGCGATCACCTGGGCACAGAGTCGCCGACCCTCAACGAGTGAGGAGCAGCCGACAGTCAAACCGGCGAGCGCCGGTTCATCCCAAACCCGGATAATCCGCCCAAGGATAACTGAGAGCTGACTGGAGTAATATTAATAGTCTAGGAATGTATCCCAAGACTCTGGACGGTTAACTTGACAACAAACCCCGCACGCAAGAGGTCAGTACGATTGATAAACCAATTCTGATTTGACCAATATTTTCGGGTCATAAAACCCTCCACCACCTGCCGTAGCACCGACTAAAAAAAAACGAGCCAGATCGTTTCGCGTGTCCTAACGGCTGCGAAGACCGCCACCGCTCAGGGGTGCATCTTGACTGCGGCTCCGTGCGACTCACGTGGCTAGCACCTCGTCGGGGAGCTCCGTGATGTGCGCCGGGATGGGGCGGCCGGTGAGGAACTGTGCCACCTCGTTGCTGAACGTGTTGCAGTTGTGCTTGAACAGGTGGTAGCGCTCACCGCTGCACGGACACACACAGCGCAACGATAACGCGACAACAACATCATCAACACTGGTACCCGCCCACACACACTGGTACCCGCCCACACACACTGGTACCCGCCCACACACACTGGTACCCGCCCACAAACACTGGTACCCGCCCACACACACTGGTACCCGCCCACAAACACTGGTCATCACCCACAAACGCTGGTATCCGCCCACACACGCCGGTACCCGCCCACACACACCGGTACCCGCCCACACACACCGGTACCCGCCCACACACACCGGTACCCGCCCACACACACCGGTACCCGCCCACACACACCGGTACCCGCCCACACACACCGGTACCCGCCCACACACACCGGTACCCGCCCACACACACCGGTACCCGCCCACACACACTGGTTCCCGCCCACACACACTGGTGCCCGCCCACACACACTGGTACCCGCCCACACACACCGGTACCCGCCCACTGCCACGCACTCTCCTGACAGTCGCACAGCGATCGGCTGTGTGGGGACGATTCGGTATTTCGCGGGGAGCAACCCTGGCTGGCTCAGAATTCAGAGTGACCACGTGATGATAAGCCACTCCCCGTTGAGCTACCATTTGTGGCCAGGTCACTTCTGAAAAAAAAGAGCTAAATAGCTCAGCGGGCCTTCATCTGGTAAAATAAAATTTAAATTAATTGTCATGAAATGTTGTTTACAATGGCGCTGCTGCAGAGTGGGACTGGGAGATGTCTTCTGCGAAGTGTTTCTGAGCACCCCGTGGTGTCTGGCTACCCCCAGGGTGGTTCTTGCATTGCTCGGGAGCAGCGTTCTTCTCCGTTACTTGTAGAGGAGTAAAATGGGGACGTGACGTCAGGTGTGCCGTTCAGTGCGATGACGTCACGTCTCCTGGGGTACTTAAGGGAGACCCCGTGACGTCAGCGGGGTCACTGTGGGAACGGGTAGAGTAAGCAGGGTGAAGAGGGAACCAGTGGGTAGAGAGAGGAATCGAGTGGTGAGTCTGGGGAGAAGCCGGTGGTAGCCGTAGAGGTGCTTCTCTCTCCGCTCGGTGGAGTCGGCAGAGTTCACGATCCGACACGAGAGAGAGAGAGACCGGAGCTAGCCGGCAGGGACCCGGACTCAGGGTAGGACCCCTCGCCCCTGGGAGTTGTGTACCCTGCTGTGTAATATTGATAAGCTTTAATAAACCCTCGGCGAAAGCCCATAACATACCTCCATCTCCGAGTGCGTCCGTGGGGACTTCTCTCAGAGGTCGCAAACGGGTTTTGATTCCTTACCCGTACCCGTACCCGGCCGCACCAGGGTCGCAAACGGGTACCCGTACCCGGCCGTACCCGTACCCTACCCGTACCCGGCTGGGTACGGGTAGGGTACGGGTATCGGGTACCTGATTGCGACCTCTGGGATGAAGCCATGTTGCAGCCGCGGGTGGGTTGATTCTAGGAACTTGAATTGTGAGAAGAGACAAGACGTTGGGAAATGAGTGACAAACGGTTACTCACCAGTGACTCACGGCCTACCCGTACCCGTACGCACCAGGGTCACAAACAGGTACTCGTACCCGCACCCGGCCAGGTACGGATAGCCGGGTATCGGTTACGGGTACGGGTATCGGGTACCCGATTGCGACCTCTGACTTCTCTACACAAGGTCCCGCGGGCCACCGGCGGTGCCCGGTGGTAGCCTTTAGTGCGGCCCCAGATGCGCGGTCCCCCGACATTACACAATTCACGGAATCGCCGGGTGTGGGGGCAGCTGGCGCTACAATCGGTTGCGTGGTTCGCGGCGAGCGTTGTGGGGGCTGACCGACGGGATGAGGCACTCGCTCACGTGCGTGCGGGGAGGGGAATCGTGTCGGGCGTCGCGCTCACTTGAACGCGTCCTCGCCGAGCCCCGACAGGTACTCCAGGAAGATGTCTTCTGTCACCTGCGTCTGTCCCAGCTCCTCCACCGAGTCCGGGGATCCGAGCACCGTTCCTCCCTGCGGCGCAGAGGTGGTGCCGCCTATGGTGGTTATTTTGATTATTTTGCTGCGGTACATGTACGCGTGATAAGCCACTTTGTCGAGCTATCGTTTGTGGCCTGGTTGCTTCTGAAAAATAAATTAATACCCAAGTGGGCTTTACCTGGTAAGATAAAACATAGTTTAGTTTTATCTGTATAGATTTTTTTCAGTGATTTATTAACCTTTTCAAAACTTTGCACTTGTATCGTGTTTTTGTATTGTTTGTTGATGTAACGTTTTGATCGGCACCTACTGAACATCTACTAAAAAGAGCTTTATAGCTCATCGGATTCCTCCAGTGTAAACAAAGATTCTGATTCCGATGAGCGGCAGGGTACGGCCGATAGTTGACCTTGCTGGTGGCGGTCCGTCGCTGCGGATGACAGCCGTGCTGCTGCTAACCCACGCTGGCGGAAAGCTACGCCGGTGGTGGGGGATGGCTGGCGGATAGCTACGCTGGTAGCAGGCTACGCTAGTGGCAGCCCATGCTAGTGGCAGAGTGGTGTGCTCGTAGAAGGCTGTGCTGGTGCTCCACTGAGCTCGGAGCAGTCCATGCTGGGGTCAGACCAAGTTGATTATGGGTGACATTGCCAGCTGGCTACACCAGCACACTGCTGGTGGGGGGCTGCGTTGGTGGAGGGGTGCCCGCGTGTTTGAAGGGCAATGTCACGTCATGTGCACAGGAAGCGGTAGTGCAGCGGTAAGTGTGCTGCGCTACAAACATCATGACACGAGTTCGATTCCCGCTCATGGCCAACACCAGTGACGATTATATAAACCGGTCCTGGGCCTCCTTCCCCAGGTCGACTACCTGGTACAGTGTCTAAACATCGCCACTAGAGAGACAAAGGCGGCCGGGCGTGGCACTTGCCATCCACCCCTTCGTGTGAAGTGCTCAGCACTCGCCCCAACAGTCAGTTCGAGGCTACACGGGAGATCTTTGTCTTTATGTGTGTGGGTGGGTGGGTGCGCACGTGCATGCAAGTGGTCTCACCGGCTGGCAGCACTCAATGCCTCCTCCGCCGTAGAAATACTCCTGGCCAAACACCACCACGGCCGTGTGCCTGTCCCACCACCATGTGCAGAGGACGCGGAGCAATGACAAACAATGGTACGGTCCCCTTATGAGTCGATTCACCAATTATAACACTGGTCAACAAAAAAAACATTATTTTTCTGGCCTGGACTTTTGCAGCTGTTTTAGACTAATTTCAGGGTGCTGATTCCAAATCTGATCTCAGATTTGCTCTATCACATCTCGTTTTTTTGCTATCGGCATACCCCATTTCCATTGATTTTACCCGAAATTAACTCTGTCACTTATGATTGCAAGTTGTTGCGAGTCAGTGACTGCTTTAGTGTTAAAATATGATGCTGTATTTTTAGGATAGTGTGTTTATAATATCATTTTATGTAGATATCCACATTTATTTAATATTTTTCTTCTGCAGTTTTAATTGAAAATGCAATATTTGATATCTCAAAAACCTGATGTGATAGACAAAAGCTAATGCCAGATTTGGAATCAGCACCCCAAAATTACATTAAAACCGTTGGAATACCTTATGCCAGAAAAAGTGTGTTGACCAGTGTAATCGATCCCTCCGCTCGAGATATCGAGCCAACACAAAATGTTGTTCTTCACAGGCCCATGCGAAATAAATGTGACATTCAGAATGTCGAAAGCGTGCTAATAATTATATATACGGGATATGATTTGGCTTATTTCTTGAATAATCCAATCGGCTGCACACGTACGTGAAACTGAATGCAGCGTCCCGCCATCTCACCGTGGGAGATTGTCCGACACCACAGTATTTCATTAATATTTCTCACGGATCAAGAAAGGTGGACACTTTATTTCCGACTCAAAATAGGACAAATTGGTTGAACTACTTGGTTTTATTAATCATTTATAACCAGCTTTGTCGCGTAATGTGCTATCCACTACACCACCACTCGACCCACACACGTAGGTTCTCTCACACGCATACCCACACTGAATCATTACAAAGACAAAGATCCCCCGTATAGCCTGAACAGACTGTTGGGGCAAGTGCTGTTAGCGAGCACCAAAAAAGGCTGGCACGGCACACGAATGGGTGGGTGGCCAACACCACGCCCGGCCGCCTTTGTCTCCCAAATGGCGATGTTTACACACCGAACCTGGTACTCATTTGAGGCCGAGTCGACCTAGGGGAGGCCTAAGTGCCGGTGCAGATAATCGCCACCGGTGTTGGCCGTGAGCGGAAATCGAACTCGGGTCACCGGGTTCGTAGCGCAGCGCGCTAACCGCTGCACCACCACTCCACACACACACCTGCTCACAGGGTCTGAAGGTAACCTCATCCGAGGCTGCCAATATCTGCTGCTTGTTTAGCATGGACAGCAACACGCGGGGGCTGTATCACCCGCGGGTGGTTTTAGATTTTCAGTGCGGAGCGGCGCGGTGAGTCTCACGCAGTCAGATGTTCAAACGGAAGAGCAACCCAGTGGTGCAGTTATCGAGTGCGCAGGCAGTGCAACTGGTGCCTGGAGCTGTAGGGGAGTTGGGAGGTGGGAGAGGGTCGAAGGCAGGAGGCAGGTCCTGGGCTATAAAGAATAATGTGGAATTGGAGGTGAAGCTTAACATGGTGAGGTGCATTGAGGTGAGGTGTGGGACACCAACTCACCAAATCCCCTCCAGCTGTTTCCCTAGAGAGGGGTGTGAACACGAGCAAGGGCATCAGTGACGCAGCGAGACAAACAGGGACAACGACAAAACACCTACATCACGGGACCTCCTTTGCCAGTACCAAAATATGAGAATAGCTTTTCCAATTTTTTCTGGCAACAAAACAGCTGTGTTAAGATGTGAACACCTGTTTCTTTGAAAGCTGTCTCTGGTGTGGACCAATCAGTTTCAAAGACATGTAGGTGAAAATAAAAATAAAATAATAATGAAAATAACTAAATTAAATCACGACGTTTCGGAAGCAACACTAGCCTCCGTCATCAGGTAGGTCAGCCACAGCAAGAAATAATAGCAAGAAATTAAAAGAACCAAAGAGCCTTGCTGTCCTACCTGATGACGGAGGCTTGTTCATATTCTTGGTTCTTTCGGTAAAGTCACGTAGAAGGGAAATAATAAAATAACCCCGCCCGCTCGCTCAATAGCCCCGCCCACTCGCTCAATAGCCCCGCCCACTCGCTCAATAGCCCCGCCTACTGCTCGTAGCCTGAGTCCGAGATACGAGGCAAAGGCATTTTATGAATGGGGGGTGAACGGGGGGGTGGATGGGGGGGGTGGATGGGGGGGGGTGGATGGGGGGTGTGGATGGGGGGTGTGGATGGGGGGGTGGATGGGGGGGTGAATGGGGGGGTGGATGGGGGGGTGGATGGAGGGGGGTGGATGGGGGGTGAATGGGGGGGGGTGGATGGGGGGTGGATGGGGGGGTGAATGGGGGGGTGGATGGGGGGTGGATGGGGGGTGGATGGGGGGGTGGATGGGGGGGGTGGATGGGGGGGGTGGATGGGGGGTGGATGGGGGGTGAATGGGGGGTGAATGGGGGGGTGAATGGGGGGGTGGATGGGGGGGTGGATGGAGGGGTGGATGGTGGGGTGGATGGGTGGGTGGATGGGGGGGTGGATGGGGGGGTGGATGGGGGGGGTGGATGGGGGGGGGTGGATGGGGGGGGTGGATGGGGGGGGTGGATGGGGGGGTGGATGGGGGGGTGGATGGGGGGGTGGATGGGGTTTGGGTGGAAATGTCGAGTTTATCGAATGCTTTGGGGCACCGGGACCTTTCTGAAAGCACGTGGGGCAGTCCCAGGCCAAAAACCAAGGCGTTTATTTTGTAACTTCAGAGTCTGGGGTAAGAGGAATTTATCCCGATAAACACAGGAACCCCAAAAGGCACTAGGGGACCCGATGCCCATCACCTATCCCATGAACACCGATGCCTTTCCACCGTAAACGGGCTCAATAAACACAAGGGGGCCCTATAAAGACAGGGAAGGGACCCTGACCCCCATTAACACAGGGAACATGAGCCCTCCGTGTCTGCCGTCTTTGTCTTCTCCTAGTACTCAAAGTGCTAACCTCAACCAGTCGAGTTCGAGTTTATTTGTTGAACCAGGTGAGAACTCCAGAGACCAGCAAGGTGCACTAACTGCAAGTGACCTTGATCACCAAAACGTGCAAAACCAATCACAGTACGCCAATGAAATGAATAGAAAGTGGCAAAAGCAACTGCGTCGCCACTGAAAACATGACTCATCACAGTACAGTATACTAACAATGACGTTTCAGAAACATTAAGGAGATGTGGGGCGACTATTGTACTAATATGTAAATAGATGCGGATACACAAGGCGAATGTGCAGCGTTAGTTCATGGGCAATGTTAGTTCATGGGCAATGTTAGTTCATGGGCAATGTTAGTTCATGGGCAATGTTAGTTCATGGGCAATGTTAGGTGATGGGCAATGTTAGTTCATGGGCAATGTTAGTTCATGGGCAATGTTAGTTCATGGGCAATGTTAGTTCATGGGCAATGTTAGGTGATGGGCAATGTTAGTTCATGGGCAATGTTAGTTCATGGGCAATGTTAGGTGATAGACAATGTTAGTTCATGGGCAATGTTAGGTGATAGACAATGTTAGTTGATGGGCAATGTTAGGTGATAGGCAATGTTAGTTGATGGGCAATGTTAGTTCATGGGCAACGTTAGGTGATGGGCAATGTTAGTTCATGGGCAATGTTAGTTCATGGGCAATGTTAGGTGATGGGCAATGTTAGTTCATGGGCAATGTTAGTTCATGGGCAATGTTAGTTCATGGGCATTGTTAGTTCATGGGCAATGTTATTGTACTGTACGAATCATAAGTAACTGCCAGTCACCACTCATACACCACCACCACCACCACAGGACTAACATCATCACGAAGGCAACTCACACTCCTCACTCATAATGGTCACCGCGACCGAGCTAACGTTGTGATTTTAAACATTTAACAAATATTAAATGTAACATTTTATTTTCCAATTTCGTCATTTTTCTCCGCGGGCCTTCGGTCCGATGCGAGCGCCGGCCTTGCCTAGAAATTCCTGCCGGGCAGGGCGCGCCTTACCCAGTAGCGGCAGGCTCATCTGCCGGGCCATGCCGCGGGACAGGTCGTAGACGTACAGCTTCACGTCGTAGCTCTCCATGACGGCCGTAACTTTTGTCGTCCTCTACAAACGTTTCGCGATACTTATCCGAAATAACTGACCGCGAATAACTCCAATTTATTTGAAATTATTAAAGACGCCGACCAGACACGGAGAGTTTACAGAAACCACCGCAGAATGCTGACGCCGCGTGACACTTCGCGAGTGACGTCACTACACACGGAGGTGCGTGTGAGCATAGACATGCACCGCCACCCCCCCACGTTGAACGCCGCCGGTACTCTACGTTGATTGGAAACTCTTCAAAGTTGACGACTCGCCGAGGGGGGAGGGGGGCGTGGTGCGGTGCATTCTTGACAGGCGGGCTCGTTGGAAAAGTTGGTTCGCGTGCGTCGGCTTCGAATCTGTCGTTGAAATCGCCACGTGCGTCTGATTGTCGGCATGCACCGCTAACGGCTGCCAACACCGGTGACGATTGTGCTGGGCCTCCCGCTAGGTCGACTCGGCCTCAAATGAGTACTGTACCTGGTGCAGTGCGTAAAACACTGCCACTGGGGGAGACAAAGGCGGTCGAGCGTGGTGGTGGCTACCCACCCCCCTCGCTTTCATAGGTACTCGCTAGCAGCACTTGCCCCAACAGTCTGTTAAAGGATCTTTGTGTCTTTGTTTTGCATCGTGCTACAAATACAACATCGCCGACTCAACGTTGTTTTCAGGCGCGGCTTATTTTAAAGGGTGGCATTCTTTCTCGGTGGGCTCGCTCCCAACTGATTGTATTGATTCACGAAGGGTGACATCGATACATCGATTACCCAGCTGTCAGTTACTGAGTCACTTACCCTGGAGTTGGCGGTCCATGCGAGCGAAGACTTTTAATCCCGAGAGAAATTGACGACTCGTCTTGTTTTAAGAAGGGCCAATGCCCGAAACGTCGCCTATTATGTACTTCTCCTTTCAAGGCCACGGTGTTATTTACGATTGTGTTGAGTCGTTTTTTTGTGTTGAGTTATTTTTAGTGAATTGGAGACCACTGCGAATTGCAATGTCACGAAATAAAACATCGATTACACTGGTCAACACACTTTTTCTGGCATAAGGTATTCCAACGGGTTTAAGGTAATTTTGGGGTGCTGATTTCAAATCTGGCATCAGTTTTTGTCTATCACATCAGGTTTTTAAGATATCAAATATTGCATTTTCAATAAAAACTGCAGAAGAAAACTATTAAATAAATGTGGATATCTACATAAAATGATATTATAAACACACTATCCTAAAAATACAGCACCATATTTTAACACTAAAGCAGTCACTGACTCGCAACAATTTGCAATCATAAGTGACAGAGTTAATTTCGGGTAAAATCAATAAAAATGGGGTATGCCGATAGCATAAAATGAGATGTGATAGAGCAAATCTGAGCTCAGATTTGGAATCAGCACCCTGAAATTAGTCTAAAACAGCTGCAAAAGTCCAGGCCAGAAAAAAAAACATTTTGTTGACCAGTGTTATTTGTGTGTGTGGATTATTCTTGTGTCCATTCTTGTTTGGCGGTCTCGTACGTGTCTGAGATGGATAATTAATAATTTCTCCACTTTTCTGTTTTAATTTCTCCACTCAAGTTATGTTCTGGACATTACCTTCTGATGTAGCTGTGAATTAGCCATGGCGACAGCGCATCTTCTTACCTGACTCCTCTGTAGATGTGTGCCTCTGTGTCCACGCAATCTCAGTGTAGCGATTCATCTTTTTTTACAAATTTCTATTCCTCATGAAGACCAAACAGGCCACATGGCTCATCCCTATGGGGTAGATAAAACACATTCCTGTTGCGGAGGGAGCTGGTAGGAACGTTGGGTTGCTCGGTCAATGGCCAGGGTCAACGGCGGCGTGGTGTATTCCGCAAATATGCCCGACTTTGAAGGCAGGCACAAGCCGGCGTGAGTAGGTTAAACGTTGAGTTTTATAAGGGCACCACGGAGTGACCAGCCCCTCCCCACCCAGCCCCTCACCACCCTCCCCTCTCCACCGAGCCCCACCCCTCCCATTTTTGGAAGCACGACGGACGGACACAATAATCCCCTGTGGGCTGGTGTAACCAGGAGGTTCTGACCAGTAATATGTACTAGCTTGTGGGGATATCAACCAACAGTGATTGTGCTGTGGATAGACTACCATAGGAATGTGGAATTTCCACCTCTGTCCCAGAAGATGAACACTGTTGTCAGTGAAGATGGTGCTCTTATTATCATACTTGTTAACCCATGAAAGCCAGAATCTCAAGACTCATTTGTTCCTGCCTAGTTTTGTAGTAGGGGGCGATGCTGCTGCTGCTGCTGCGTGTGATCCTAATTGATTAATTGGCAGGTACTTTCTCAGCTTTTTCGCAATGTGGTTTTGGCCAACACCAGTTATACGCTGATGTGTGTGTGTGAAAAGAGTTTAGCTATGGGAGGAGAGAACCAGAGAACGTGAAGGGAAAGCCGTGCAAGAACGGGGGGGAGAGGGGGACAGAATAGAAACTCCACACAGTGCCGGATGAAGCTATTGCAGGGCCTTTAGCATAAATTAAAAACACATAAATATTAAAAAACGTAAATGTTTGACTTGCACAGAAAAGTAATTGTATTTTTTCATTTGCTATACAGCCAGATAATACGACAAATCGCTCACCTTAAACACACAGTCGTTAATAAAAGTTGAAGGCGGTATAGTACTATAGTAATAGAGCAAGTGCAAAATCACTGAACCGGAATTGATAGCTTGAAAGCGTTTCGCGCGGGGCCCTTGAAAGTGCGGGGCCCGTAGCATAGCTACTTGTGCTGCGCGTGCAGCTACTTGTGCTGCGCGTGCAGCTACTTGTGCTACACGTGCAGCTACTTGTGCTACACGTGCAGCTACTTGTGTTCCACGTGCAGCTACTTGTGCTCCACGTGCAGCTACTTGTGCTGCACGTGCAGCTACTTGTGATACGCGTGTATCTACTTGTGCTGCACGTGCAGCTACTTGTGCTACTAGGATAACCTGGCACTGATCCCACAGTGCCAGGTTATCCTGAATCGACGAACCGAGACAACTTATTGCGTGCGAGGCACGAGGAGACTAACCTTGTTAACCCGTTCACCGCAAACACAATCAATTCACGCAGCCGCCACGATAAGCCGGTGCTTAATTATTTTATTTTCTCATAATCAATAGAAGAGAAACTCAAAACACATCCGGAAGGTACAGTAACACAGACGTACGCGGTACAAGGCGGAATAAATAATTAAGCAGTGGAGAATGTTGTCGTTCATCGCAGCGACTCGTGAAACTTGACCAGAGTGACACTTGGAGGGTGCGGTGGTGGGGGGGGGGGTTAAATATTGGGGGGCCAGGGGCTATGGTCCAGTTAGATAGTGTGGTTATTATATTCTTTGGGTCTTTCGGTAAAGTCACGTAGATAAATTTCGATTTAAAGCTTTCGTGACTGCAGGGATTCATCTTCTTGGTTCTTTCGGTAAAGTCACGTAGAACGGAAATAATAAAATAATAAAAAGAAAACATGTTTTATTTTTATTATTTTATTAGTTCACGTAGATAAGTTCAAAGAAAATAACAAAAAACCACGACGTTTCGATCGCAACGCAAGCGGTCGTCATCAGGGAAAGGGGGGTTGGCCTCTAAAGGCAAACTGTTTATAAAGGTTTAAAATGGGCGTAGCCCAAGTGTGTCAGCAGCATGGGCGGGGCAGCAATCAGCCGTCCACGTGGTTGACGACTGGCTCTGACGAGGGAGGGAACGCGGAATAAGAAGGCCGATTGAACTGAACGAAGTGGCAATCGCCGTGGCTGAGTGACTTGAAATTTCGACCCGTGGTTGAAAACACACGGAGGACTTGACGGGAGTGAGTCCAGTGCCACTGCTGGTCCGAGTGTAAATCACATACTGGGTTGTGGTTTATTTTAATGGACTTGTCAAGTTCTTTGTTTAGCTCCAGGGCACTTGTAATGAATGACCTTTCTGACAGAAAACCTTCTGTGCCTGCCAGTAAACCCCCCCACTCACCCCGTTGTTTTTTTTAAAGTGAGGCCGATGGCAGTGTTTTTTGACACGAGGAAACCCCAAAACCCACACCATCTTCGCCACGTGTATGCGAGAAGGACGCATCCTTGTCGCGGGGGTTACCGACAGTCAGGGGTTACCAATCGTCTCCGTCCAAACACAGATTGAGGAGTCACACGCCTGACGATCGGTGCGCAGGCTCACACCGCCTCGAATTGACGACACGACACGTGCGTACACAAAGACAAAGACAGAGAATTCCCCCCTTGCAGAGCCGAAGAAAGGCTGTCGGGGCAAGTGCCGTTAGTGAGCACATTGTGCAGGCCGCCGGTATTGTGCAACGAGTTGGGTGGGTGGCCAGCACCACGCCTGGCCCCACTTTTGTCGTCTCCCCACCGGTAAATGTTTACGCGTCACACCAGGTACTCGTTTAAGGCCGAGTCGACCTAGGGGATGCCCAGAACCGGTTCAGATGTACACGTGCAAAGACAAAGACACGCAATCTCCCATCGCAATTGCGTCGACGCGTGCACACGCGCGCACACACACGTACGCGGAAAGAAAGAAAAAAATACACGGATCTTGAATTGAAATCGGAGCTCTCTGCGTCGCGTTTGGATGTGTTTCGCAAGCATCAGGCGCGTGCGGCGACTTGAGTTGGGGATTGGACGGAGGTGATTGGTAGATGTGCAGAGGCCAGGGCCGTTGGTGGGGGCTCTGATCCCTGGGAAAGTTTGGGAACCGATGCCTTTTTAACAGAGGTCGCAATCGGGTACCCGATACCCGTACCCTACCCAATACCCGGCTATCCGTACCCGGCCGGGTACGGGTAGCCGTTTGCGACCCTGGTGCGGCCGGGTACGGGTAGGCCGTGAGTCACTGGTGAGTAACCGTTTGTCACTCATTTCAGGTAGGGTACGGGTACAGGGGTAGGGAACGGCTACCCGTACCCGGCCGGGTACGGGTACCCATTTGCGACCCTGGTGCGGCCGGGTACGGGTACGGGTAAGGAATAAAAACCCGTTTGCGACCTCTGCTTTTTAATGACGTTAGACTGCGGCGCCGTAGAGAGAGAGAGTGGAGAGAGAGTTAGAAAAGTAACCCCCGATGAAAATAACGCTAAATAAGCGGTTCACGTCGCGCTACATCTATATGCATAAGCACACATGTATAGGTGTGGAGCGTTTATACTATAGCCGGTTCCAATGTGAACCTCGTCATGTCATGCAAACTTGAGATCAACTTAAGGCCGAGACTACGATCCCCGCAGATGCGTGCCAAGAAAGGGCAGAGTCTTAGCTGCGACTGTGCCACGCCCTGAACCACAACCCCTAACCCCATACCCCAAACCAAAACCTATAACACCTAACCCTTAACCCCATATCCTAAACCATAACCTCTTAATACCTAACCCTTAACCCCATACCCTAATCCTAAACCAAAACCTATAACACCTAACCCCTAACCCCCTACCCTAATCCTAAACCATAACCTCTTAACACCTAACCCTTAACCCCATACCCTAATCCTAAACCATAACCTCTTAATACCTAACCCCATACCCTAATCCTAAACCAAACCCTATAACACCTAACCCTTAACCCCATACCCTAATCCTAAACCATAACCTCTTAACACCTAAGCCTTAACCCCATACCCGAATCCTAAACCATAACCTCTTAACACCTAACCCTAACCCCATACCCTAATCCTAAACCGAACCCTAGCCCTAAACCATAACATCTAAACAATAACCCTAACTCAAACCCTAACCATAACCCCTAAATCGTGCACGCTTAACTCTTAATCCCAAATACGAAACTCTTACACCGAAATCGTCACCCCGAATCCCAAAATCACAACCCCGAGTCTCTAAACCCCCTAACCCTCACCACTAACCCCCGACCTCTTAACCCCTAACACCGACATGAACCCCTATCGGAGTGGTGCCAAATAAAATAAAATCAACTGGAATCCAATCAAGTTCTGTGATTGGATTCACATCCTGCTTAACGACTGATTGAAAACGAATTTCTTTAGAAATTGATTTTCGCGTTTAGTTTGTTGTCCTTCCCACCCCCGCACCTCCGATTAGCCACGGTTGGCTACGTACGGTGCGAACGAAGTTCAAACAAACACACAGAGCACAAGATGAGCAGTAAACTAAATGTGTGGCTGCTTTAGCCACCCTCTCGAGACTACTCTTTGGTTTTTTCGGTAAAGTCACGTAGAAAGAGAAAGTAATAAATTAGATACTAGCATACGACGTTTCGATTGCAACGCAAGCAATCGTCATCAGGTTTAAATGAAATAGAAACACAAATCTAGTATCATTTCGATTTAAAGCTTTCGGGACTGCAGGGATTCATCTTCTTGGTTCTTTCGGTAAAGTCACGTAGAATGGGAATAATAAAAATAATAAAATAAAACAAAACATAATAAAATAATTCTCACGACGTTTCGGCCACAACGCACCTGACGGCGGCTGCTTGCGTTGTGGCCGAAACGTCGTGAGAATTATTTGATTATGTTTTGTTTATTTTATTATTTTTATTGTTTCCATTCTACGTGACTTTACCGAAAGAACCAAGAAAATCTAGTATACTTAGAAGAGAGTCGGTTAGAAATGTAATGTATTAGAAATGTAATGTATTACATTACATTAATGTAATGTATTACATTACATTTCTAAGTATACTAGATTTGTGTTTCTATTTCACTTATACCTGATGACGATTGCTTGTGTTGCAATCGAAACGTCGTATGCTAGTATTTAATTTATTACTTTCTCTTTATACGTGACTTTTTCCGAAAGAACCAAAGAGTAATTCCTGCAGTCACGAAAGCTCCAAATTAAGTATGGATCCTCTCGAGACTCGGTTTGGTTTTTTTGTTCCCTCGCATCGGCAGGGAAGCGGGGGTAGTCACCACCCACGCACGCCCTCTTAGGTTAAAGGAAAAGACGCGACTCAAAAGGAACACACATACGTCTTGTCCCGCAGCTAGGCGCCGGTTTAAATACTCGCTCGTGACAAGGGGGGTGTGGGGGGGTGGGCGGCGTTAAAAGAGTGCCGTGAAAAATCGTCAAGTTGCCGTGGCCGTTATGGGGGTTGCGGAACTGAAATTTCGAGGTCGTCGATTTAGAGAGATTCGATCTCCCGCCGCGGCAGCGGTGAAGACATTCTGGCACGTTCGAACTCAAAAAAAGAAAAAGCCTCAACCCCACACCCACATTCTTAGGTTTTGTCGGTAAAGTCACGTAGGTAAAAAATAAAAATTAATGAAAAGTAAAATTAAAATAAAATAAAAAGCACGACGTTTCGGAGGCAACACAAGCTTCCGTCTTCAGGTGGAACCGTCACAGCACGATAGCTGTATCAAGTGATACAGGTGAACCGTCACAGCACGATAGCTGTATCAAGTGATACAGGTGATACAGCTATCGTGCTGTGACGGTTCCACCTGAAGACGGAAGCTTGTGTTGCCTCCGAAACGTCATGATTTTTATTATATTTTTATTTTACTTTCATTCATTTTAATGTTTTACCTACGTGACTTTACCGAAAAAACCCACACCCACACAATCAAGCGGTTGTGCGGTGTGGTGGGGGTGCAGTGTGGGTACTCTCACATTTTTACCCCCAAGGCGTATGCGTTAGCGTGGAAGAGCAGGCCAACATCCCCTCTCTCTCTCGAGGGACACGGGCAAGGCGCTGTCTAAGCGGGAGTCTCTTCCGCCGGTAGCAGTGGGCATGCACCAGCAGTTGCAGGGCCGCGCCTCTACCCTGAGAGAGCCCTCCAGTGACGTCACCGCGGTGCGTGTCTCTCTCTCTCTCTGGCTCGAATCCCTTCCCCATTAAAGGTTTTCCTCCGTTGAGAAGTTAGTTTCGATTTAAAACGTTACAACGGTAATTATAACAGTACATTATCATAAACAAAATGCTACTTATTTCGACCTGATGATGCCCAGAAAACAGGCAGAGGATACTCCAGGCGCCGAGCACATTTGGCAGGAGGAGGGTTTCTTCTTTTTCAGCGGCTGACCATGTCACGGTGAAGAGGTCACCCTGTGCCAATACCGTCGATGCCACCGCACATAGCCATCGCTTCCTTCTTTCTGCCAGTCGTGGCCGCTGCGAACAGTCGACATTCCGCCGCCTCCGAGCTCTTAGAGTAAAGTTCAAAGGTCAACAAAAACCACCGCCATCCGGGGCCTCGGCTCTTCTTGTCCTCGTCGCATGCTCGATGCCCTCTTACAGTCTCGTCGCCCGCCGCACCGCCTCTCAACTCAGTCGGTCTTCTCCCTTTGGGTTGCCACTGCATCGGGGGGCAGCGGGGCAGGGGGGGATCTTTGCCCTCATCCCATCCTGCACACGTGTCCCCATCCATCACAACCTCCTCGTGCTCTCGTAATATTCCGAGCTGTTCGTATCCTGCCATCAACATCATCATCATCATCGTCATCGTCGTCGTTTCCAGTATTTGTTTGTGCCCAGGTGCGGCACGTTGGCACACCCGTTATTCAGAGCTTTGGGTGCCCCAGTCGTCTGCCAGCACGATCATCATCATCATCATCGCCATCGTCACTTGTATCATAAACGGTGATACAAGAGGCCAGAACAGGTCCTACTTGCTGTACTTTCCTTCTAAAGGCGGCCTTGTCGCCTCCCCCGCGGGTTGGGATTCTCAGCTCGATCCCCCCCCCCCCCCCGCGGCCAAAGCGTGATGATCTTTAAGAGCTACACCACGTCTCGCCCCCCCCCACCTCCCGTGCAATTAACTCCTCGCAAATTAGCGATGAACAAAGACAATTATCGAGAAACGATTATAAATCTGCGGTCGTATCTGGACAGAAATCTGCGGATGCCGCCGCGCCAATGACGGCGGAGGAGGAGGGGGGGGTCTAAAGGTCTAAGGTCAAAAGGTCAAAGCCTTTGCTGCCATCCCAGCACCACCGCGCCATTGCCTCCTTCCTTGTCAGTGCTCGTACTTGTTTTGTTTTAAGTGGACGTCTCAACCTGCTGCAAGGACTGCTCTTGCATTCGCATCATCATCAATGCCACCAAAATAACTGGCTTCAGGTCTTGCCCCGTGGTCCTGTGTCTGTGCGCGTGTGTCACTGCAATTGTCCGGTGTGTGTGTCACTGCAATGGTCTGATGTGTGTGTGTCGCTGCAGTGTGTGTGTCACTCCACTGGTCCGGTGTGTGTGTGCGCGTGTGTCACTGCAGTGTGTGTGTCGCTGCAATGGTCCTCTGTGTGTGTGTCACTCCACTGGTCCTGTGTGTGTGTGCGCGTGCGTCACTCCCATAGTGAGGAGCGGTGGTGTAGTGGTCAGCGCGCTGCGCTGCGAACCCGGCGACCCGGGCTCGGCACCCGCTCACGGCCAACACCGGTGACGAATATCTGAACCGGTCCTGGGGCTCACCTAGGTTGATTCAGCCTCAAATGAGTACCTGGTGCGGTGTGTAGTAAACATCGCCACTGGGGAGACAAAGGCGGCCGGGCGTGGTGCTGGCCACCCACCCCCTCGTGCGCCGTGCCGGCCTCTATATGTGCTCGCTACCAGCACTTGCCCCAACAGCCGGTTTAGGCTATATGGGGGATCTTTGTCTTTTTGTCACTCCCATACCGGCCCTGGGAGCGGTTTCAACAACAGCGGTAGCAATTCTGTTTCCACTCCTCCGTTGCATGAACCCATGCGGCCATCTCCGACGCCGTTGGGGAATGAAAGGCGAGCCCACGGACGCGACTGCCAATCCTCATTCTCAAGCCACGGACCGCAGAGTACCGGCACTGTTCACTTCCACCACTCGCCTACGTGTCCCCATGGGGGGGGGGGGGGCTCTCTCTCTGAGTCTATGAGTCTCTGTGCGTCTATGGGTGTCTTTTGTTAGCCTATGGGTCTGTGTGTCCATTTGTCTGCGTGAGTCTACGCGTCTCTGCGTGATTCTTCACGTGTCTGCAAGTCTCTGGACCATTCGCGTGAATCGAGGTCTCAAACCGCGGCCCACACATTCGCTCTCGAGGCCGCCCGCTGCGTCACTGGCTTGGCTCCTCTCTCCGCGTGCCTCTCTTGTCGCTCTCACAGTGAGCGAGCCTGTGGGACTCTCCGCGAGGAGTCAGGAAAAACTCCAAAAGTGAAGCCGATCGTTCGCTGGCAGCGTTTGCAGACAGTCACCGGGCTACTCCTGACTCCGTCCACTGGCTCATCCGCAAACATCCACGTGGGTTCATCGTTGCCCCTTCGCCTCTCCTCGTCACGGGAAAGACGACGACGACAGCCACGTGTTGGCGTGAGCATTCGGGATATCGTCAGAATTAAGTGCATTCATTAGAAAGCTATTCAACGTGGTTCGGGAGCGGTGGTGCAGTGGTTGGTGCACTGCCCCCAGCCGGGTTCGATTCTCGCTCACGGCCAACATCAGTGACGAATAGCTGACCTGGTCGTGCGCCTCCTCTAGGTCGACTCAGCCTCAAATTAGTGCCTCGTGTGGTGTGTAAACATCACTACTGGGGTGACAAAGGCGGCCGGGCGTGGTGCTAGCCACACCACCCCCTTTATGTGCTGCGTACAGGTGCTTGATAATAATCAGCACTTGCCCCAACAGTCTGTTATGGCTATACGGGAGTGGGATGGGGCTGGGGTCTTTGTGTCGAGCGGTGGCGCAGTGGTTAGCGCACAGCGCTAAGAAAGCCAGCGACTGGATTTCGATTCCTGGCCCACGGCTAACACCAGTGAAATAATATTTGAAGCAGTGCGGGGCCTCCCCTGGGTCGATTTCGCCTTAAATGAGTACCTCATGCGCTGTGTAAACATCGGCACTGGAGATGCAAAGGTGGCCGGGCGTGGTTACTAGCCGTTTCAGCCTTAATAGGCACTCGCTAACAGCACTATGCCGGTCATACCGATACATCGGGGATCTCTGTGTGTGGTTGTATGTATATATGTATGGGAAACGGTGCTGGCCACCCACGCACGCTCTCCAAGTGCCGTACCGGTCTTCACAGGTGCTCGCTAACAGCACTTGCTCCCGACAGTCTCAACGTGCACCTAGCCTGGCACAAGCGTCGTGGCCACGTCACCGACGCTTCGTGGCGAATGGCGGCTGGTGTCGTTGGTTGGTTGTGTGGTGGAAACACACAAGCCAGTGCATTAAGTGAGCCTCCGTTGAGTTAGGAGATCGTTAGAACTGTGCACGTGGTGACGACCGTTGACGAAAAAAGAATGGGAAGACGGGGGCATTTACGCATAGTACGGACACGGGGACGTGGACATAGTACAGGGACTGACACAATTACTTGAGCCCCAATCTCTTGTCGCAGACCTTGGCTGTTCGCTCCCAGCCGCCGCCCTTGGGTTTTAAAACTGCGGGTGCACTGACCGCATCTCGCCACGCGCCGACTGCTTTGCAACGGGCGCTAAAGATCCGGTGACGTTGTCCAACAGCAACGAAATGGGTTCAAATTCGCCGAAACGTGTGTTTTGCTGGGGGGTAAAACTCACGTACGCCGCCCGCTGGCTGGCTGGGGGCGATACCAGCCTGCGAAACGCAGCGCCTTCGCGATAGCCTTGGGCTAAGATGACGACGCGAATACCAACCGTGTAGTGATGATTTGAATTGATGATTTAATTTCCCCGGGGCATGGCGCGCAGCTGCTTCCTCCTCCTCATCCTCCCGGTGTGGCCTCCCCGGGCCAATCATACCCGCCCCCCGGCCCTGTGGTCAGACTCTCCCGTAGGTCGACTCAGACTGAAATATTATGACGAGCACCGGTTGCTGGCGGGGTGGATAGACGTCAAACCCGGCTGCGCGATCTGATCCCCAAAATTAATTGGTTCCGATTAAACGCCCACCGCCCCCCCACCGCCCCCCCCCCCCACCGACCACCCCGCTCCCCCCACCTCTGCCAAATGCCCCTCCCCATGAACCCGCGGAGCTGCCCGTCTGTCCAACTCTGCGTGGGGAGTGAGCGCGTCTGCCTGCGTTCATTAATTCCGAGCGGGAGCTGGTTAGCGTAGGAGTAGAGTACAACAATGGATTTTGCCACACTGCCCGCTCGCTGTCCCCCCTCCCCACACCCCCCGCAGTCTAGAGCCTATAGCACCTCTTTAGCGCGCGTCGGTCGCCCATCCTAGCACTGGCCAGGTGCAAACCAGCTTAGCTTCCGAGATGGACTGTCCTCCGGGCTGTTTGGTCAGAGGCAGGAGGCCTCTTTTGTTTGCTGTAGCGCCTGAAATCAAGTTGACGCTGGGTCACGGGGGGGATCAGGTCATGTCAGGTCAGGTCAAACCGGGTCGGGTCAGCTGCGGTCAGGTTAGGTCAATTTAAGGTCAGATCTTGGTCAGGTCAGACAAAGTAAGATAAGGCCAGGGTCGGGTCAGGTCAGACTGGCTGGCGTCAGCTCGGCTGACCTCAACTCAAGTCAGATCAGACCAAGTCGGCTCAGGTCAACTTAGAGGCTATGCCGGGTCGGCTCAGAAAAGATTGGGTTGGATCGGTCGGGTCAGCTGGGGGTGAAGTGGGGTCAGGGTCAGGTCGTGTCAGTCTGGGTCAGGTCAGCTGGGGGTGGAGTGGGGTCAGGGTCAGGTCAGTCTGGGTCAGGTCAGCTGGGGGTGAAGTGGGGGCAGGTCGGGTCAGTCTGGGTCAGCTGGGGGTGGAGTGGGGTCAGGTCGGGTCAGTCTGGGTCAGCTGGGGGTGGAGTGGGGTCAGGGTCAGGTCAGTCTGGGTCAGGTCAGCTGGGGGTGAAGTGGGGGCAGGTCGGGTCAGTCTGGGTCAGCTGGGGGTGGAGTGGGGTCAGGTCGGGTCAGTCTGGGTCGAGTCAGCTGGGTGTGGAGTGAGGGCAGGGTCAGGGTCGTGTCAGTCTGGGTCAGCTGGGGGTGGAGTGGGGTCAGGTCAGTCTGGGTAGGGTCAGCTGGGGGTGAAGTGGGGTCAGGGTCAGGTCGTGTCAGTCTGTGTCGGGTGAGCTGAGTGTGGAGTGGGGGCAGGGTCAGGTCAGGTCAACTGGGGGTGAAGTGAGGGCAGGATTGGGTCACTCCGGGTGGGCCCGCCTTGGGCCGTGTGGGGGGCCCGGCCCTTGGCCTAGAGCAGGACGCATTTGCCCTTCTCCACCCACGGGTTGCTCTTCATGAGCTCGGGGTTCAGGAAGGGGTCATTGGACATCCCCTCCTCGATCCACTTCACCATCCTGCGCGCAGCGGGCAACACGACAACACGGCAACGGGCAACTTGTGTCAGGCAAGATTTAGCGTGTATCAGACAACAACAGCAACACTCTGCGTGTGGCCTTAAAGGGGGAATAATCTATCAAAGGCAACGTTTCGAGCAATGACCCTTCTTTCATATGCTATGAAAAAGAATCATTGCCTGAAACGTCACCGATTATATTTCTGTATATAATGTTGTACACCTACAGTAGAACCCCTCTTCACGCCCACCCCCATTAACGATTCATCGCTTAACGACGGAGCCTCCACAGAGCCCAATGTGTAGTGTATAGGGTAGTGTATAGCAGTGTAGTGTATAGTGTAGTGTATAGTAGTGTATAGTAGTGCATAGTGTAGTGTATAGTAGTGTATAGTGTAGTGTATGTAGTGCATAGTTTATTGTGTAGTGTATAGTAGTGTAGTGTTTAGTAGTGTAGTGTTTAGTAGTGTAGTGTATAGTAGTGTAGTGTTTAATAGTGTAGTGTATAGTGTAGTGTATAATGTAGTGTATAATGTAGTGTAGTGTATAGTAGTGTAGTGTATAGTAGTGTAGTGTTTAGTAGGGTAGTGTATAGTAGTGTAGTGTATACTGTATAGTATAGTGTATAGTAGTGCATAATGCAGTGTAGTGCCTCCACACAACCCAATGTGTTCGCTTACCGACCATACCCCTGTTAACGATGGGTACAATACATATTAATGGATGCATCGATTAACCCGTTTTTTATATAATGTGTTTTTAATGTTATTGGTATCCTTATGTATTAATATCCATTGTTTAAATATTATAAAGTACGTTTTTTTTGGATGAAGCATTTAACGTGCATTTCCTCTACTCGCTTAACGACCAAATCAGTGAAAGACCGGTTCCGTGGAACCAATCGCCGTCGTTAAGGGGAGTTCTTCTGCCATGATATTATTGGGTGTAAATCTTGACTTAAAGCTTTCGTGACTGCAGGAATCCATATTCTTTGCGTCTTTCGGTAAAGTCACGTAGATAATAGGTTCAAAGAAAATAACCAAAAATAACAACCAAAAACTACGACGTTTCGATGACGACCGCTTGCGTTGCGATCAAAACGTCGTCGTTTTTTGTTATGTACTGTACTCTTAGGTTTTTTCGGTAAAGTCACGTAGGTAAAAATTTTAAATTAATGAAAGTAAAATAAAAATAAAATAAAAATCACGACGTTTCGGAGGCAACACAAGCTTCCGTCTTCAGGTGGAACCGTCACAGCACGATAGCTGTATCAAGTGAGAGAAATTCCAAGAAACAGTATTTGTATATATACTGGTTGAGGGTGGGAGGAGCCAAGGTAGGCCCTGGATATTATTTTTGTGAGGTTCGGTGCGTCTGAAGCACGCTGTTAGGAATGAGCCTTTGTTGTGTAGACTATGTGCGGATGATGTATGTGTTCCTAACAGCGTGCTTCAGCCACACCGAACCTCACAAAAATAATATTCAGGGCCTACCTTGGCTCCTCCCACCCTCAACCAGTATATATACAAATACTGTGTTCTTGGAATTTCTCTCACTTGATACAGCTATCGTGCTGTGACGGTTCCACCTGAAGACGGAAGCTTGTGTTGCCTCTGAAACGTCGTGATTTTTATTTTATTTTTATTTTACTTTTATAAATTTTGATTTTTTTACCTACGTGACTTTACCGAAAAAACCTAAGAATATGATTCCTTGCAGTCACGAAAGCTTCAAATCTAGAACTATCTACGTGACTTTACCGAAAGACCCAAATAATATGTTTTATAACAAAGAGTGCACGAACCGCCCCCCTCGCCCCGCCCCCCTCGCTCCGCCCCCCTCACTCGCCCCGCCCCCCTCACTCGCCCCGCCCCCCTCGCTCGCCCCGCCCCCCTCACTCGCCCCGCCCCCCTCACTCGCCCCGCCCCCCTCGCTCGCCCCCCCCTCGCTCGCCCCGCCCCCCTCGCTCGCCCCCCCCTCGCTCGCCCCCCCCTCGCTCGCCCCGCCCCCCTCGGTCGTCCCACCGCGGCGCTGTCCGCGGTGCTGAACCTCAGCGGGTCACGTGACCCGTGACGTCCTCACCACCACACGGGGTCTGTCTCGTTTGTGGTGTCCGTCTAGTTGGTTGTGTCTGTCTCGTCTGTGGTGTCTGTCTCGTTTCCATTGTCTCTCTAGTTTGTATTGTAGTATTGTCTCGTGTCTAGGTTGTATTGTTTCCTTTGACCCGTTTGCAAACACGCACGGCCCGTTTTGCCAATGCACTGTTGGATGAGGGTCTCCCCGCACCATGCGTCTCGCGGGGGCCACGATGACCATACTTCACCACGCTGGTCAGTGCGGGGTTGATGAGCATTTACATCCACCCCCCTCCCCCCCCCCCCCCCCCCCCATTGTTGATGACGAAGACACCGGCTACGTTTTACGTCGAAAAAAAAGTGTCGGGGAAATAAAATTCTATATTGTATATTTTATATTTACATGATCTAACCCCCCCAAAAAAACCTATATTATTTTTTTTATCTTTTTTTTTCTTTTTTTCTCTTTGGTTCTTTCGGTAAAGTCACGTATAAAGATAAAATAATAAATTAAATAATAGCATACGACGTTTCGATTGCAACACAAGCAATCGTCATCTTGTGTTGCAATCGAAACGTCGTATGCAATTATTTAATTTATTATTTTATCTTTATACGTGACTTTACCGAAAGAACCAAAGAATAATTCCTGCAGTCACGAAAGCTCCAAAATTAAGATTATCTTTTTTTCGCCAAGAAAAGCTGAGAGAGTGTGAGACGCCACGAGCGTGAGACGCCACGCGGTCCTCCAAGGACTCCACTTACTCGGGGATGGTTTTGGATGTCTTCTCTCGCCGGTTCGAGAGCTGGAACTTGAGGCTCTCGATCTCCTTCCGAAGCTGCGACACGTCCACCTCGTCCATGATGGCGGGGGGGCAGGGTGGGGGTCACGGTCGAGGCGTTCGTGCGGTCGCGGTACAGCCGCGGGGCGTCAACGGCGGAGGCGTCGTCTGTCGCGGCAGCGCCGACGTGAGCTCACGGCTGAGTTAGAGGCTTGGTCCGTCACGGTGGAGGTGCCGTCACGGCTGGAGCTGTCGCGGCCGTGGACGTGGAGTCGCGGTAGTAGCCGTAGTCGCGTGAGAGCGCCGTGACTGTTGTGGCGTCTGGGCCGTGACGATTCCGGCGTTTATCCTTCGGAGGCTCCTGGCCACAATCCAGCTCTGCTGGAGGACAAAGACAAAGAGCCACCGTGTAGCCTTAACAGACTGTAGGGGCAAGTGCTGTTAGCGAGTAGCACCTATGAAGGCCGGGACGGCTACACGAGGGGGTGGGTGGCCAGCACCACGCCCGGCCGCCTTTGCCTTCCCAGTGACGATGTTTACACACACCGCACCAGGTACTCATTTGAGGCTGAGTCGACCTAGGGGAGGCCCAGGACCGGTTCGGATAATCGTCACCAGTGTTGGCCGTGAGCGGGAATCGAACTCGGGTCGCCGGGTTCGGAGCGCAGCGTAGCGCTAACCGCTGCCCCACCGCTCCCCACCACCTCTACTCGAGACACGGGTAGACGGACAGCCCTTGCGAAACGAGCAACGCGCAGACAGACAGACAGATAGACAGATAGAATAGACAGACAGACAGACAGACAGACAGACAGAGAGACAGACAGACAGACAGATAGACAGACAGACAGATCACGCGCAGACAGACAGACAGACGAGTTCGGGGCCGATGGGCCCAAATCACTCGGAATGCGCCCGATCTCGGCAGCGAAGCACTCCGCACGCCCTTCCCCCACAGCCGCCGATGACCACGTTAGGCCACGCACCGTGCCCGACCTGACTTCCACGTGCGACGCATTACCGCACGTAACGCGGGACCGAGTGTGTGTAGCAAGGCCGTAGCTATGGAGTCAACATTGGGGGGGGACCAAATCTTCCAGGGGGTCTGGGGTCCCCCCCCCTCACCAGAAAAAATATCTACATTTGAAAACTCATTTCCTGCCTACAATATAAAAAAAAAAGCACGAACACATAGGATGGACTTTTTTTTTTACAATGTCATAGTGTATTTTATTACATTGCTCTGTTTTTTTCCTTTTTACCTTTTCTTGTTTCATTGTATGTAATGGCAGAGATTAGGGATTAATAAAGTAGAACCATAACCACAATCACATAAACAGAAATCTATTTTATAGCAATACATTGGGGGGGGGGGACATTTTGAGCATATTCGAATATTGAGGGAGTTGTGTCCCCCACCCAATATATATTATAATTACGGCCTTGGTGTGTGGCGTTCGGAACGCGCGACCGCCACGCACAGTCGGGTTGCAACAGGCGACTACGGAGACCGGGTAGTGGACGGCCAAACGGCGGCGGTGCAACCCCCGACGTCTCTGCTCGCCGACCTTCACCGACTCGCACTGAGCAGCTGTTCGACCAAAGCGGGTTTTTGCGCGTTCATGTGGATCGAGATAAATGAGCGGCCAGCAAGCGGGGCAAACTTTGGTGCCCTTCTTCTTGGTTCTTTCGGTAAAGTCACGTAGAAGGGAAGTAATAAAATAATTCAGACGCTGTCGCCTCGACAGACCTGGTTTTCACCTGAGGATGGGCTGCTTGCGTTGTGGCCGAAACGTCGTGAGAATAATTTTGTATTATGTTTTATTTTTATTATTTTATTACTTCCCTTCTACGTGACTTTACCGAAAGAACCAAGAAGATGAATCCCTGCAGTCACGAAAGCTTTAAATCGAAATTTGGTGCCCTTGATCACAAAGCCAAAACGTAGAGTATACATGCACGTGCACACCACTCTGTACGGGCTAATCACATCGTCGTGGTTCATTTGATTCAAGATTAAGACGGAGGCTTGTGTTGCCTCCGAAACGTCGTGATTTTTATTTTATTTTTATTTTACTTTAATTAATTACATTTTTTTTACCTACGTGACTTTACCGAAAAAAACCTAAGAATATGAATCCTTGCAGTCACGAAAGCTTCAAATCTAGAATTAAGCGTGAATTTGAACTCCGGAAAGGCACGGGCATCAATAACGTCGCGTTATTATACGGCCCTTTGATCATTCCACTGCTGATGAAGGCCTCCTCATTCGTTTCAGTCGTGGGGGGGGGGTTGTTTGACCATACTTCACCGCGCTGGTCAGTGCCCGTTTGTGAAATGGGTCTGACCCAGGGCCTGTTCGGATCTCGATCGCCACTCCTGTTGCCCTTTGCCGGGAACGGAACCTCTGCTCGCCGGAATTCACGGAGCGCAGTGCGTCAACCAGAGCGCCACCGCTCCATATTAACCATCATGCAATTAATTGTAATTAACAATAAATAAACGTTAATTTGGAGCTTTCGTGACTGCAGGAATTACTCTTTGGTTCTTTCGGTAAAGTCACGTATAAAGATAAAATAATAAATTAAAAAATAGCATACGACGTTTCTATTGCAACACAAGCAATCATCATCAGGTATAAATGAAATAGCAACAAAAATCTAACCAGAAAACTATAGACAGACATATAAGCAGACAAATATCACAAAGATACATAGAGAGAGAGAACACATGTGTGTTTTCTGGTTAGATTTTTGTTGCTATTTCATGTATACCTGATGATTGCTTGTGTTGCAATCGAAACGTCGTACGCTATTTTTTTATTTATTATTTTATCTTTATACGTGACTTTACCGAAAGAACCAAAGAATAAATAAACGCTGAAATAAATATTAAATGCTTGTTCCGATTGCGTCTAACGTCAAACAGTGACGGTTAGATTATACCTTTGCAGGCCTTATGTAACGTCGTTTTGTACAGTTACTTTGCTATTTTTGTATGGAAATTACAAGTTAGACAGGCCTGTTTCCTTGCTAATTTGGCTGCTTTGTGATGTTCATATCGAGTGCGTGGGTCTCAGATATTCACTCGCTGTCAAAGACAAAGATCCCCATACAGCCTTGCAGTGCAGACTGTTGGGGCAAGTGCAGCTCGCGAGCACGTCATGAAGGCCGGCGCGGCTACACGAGGGAGTTTGTGGGTGTAGCAGTGCCGGATTATCCTCGTAGCATATGTAGTAGCTACGGGCCCCGCACTTTCAAGGGCCCCGCGCTCAATGCTTTCAAGCTATCAATTCAATGTAGACTCTGTCGTCTCGACAGACCTGTTCTTCACCTGAGGACGGCTGCTTGCGTTGTGGCCGAAACGTCGTGAGAATTATTTTATTACGTTTTATTTTATTTTGTTTATTATTTCCATTCTACGTGACTTTACCGAAAGAACCAAGAAGATGAATCCCTGCAGTCACGAAAGCTTTAAATCGAAATCTATCAATTCCGGTTCAGTGATTCTGTACTTGCTCTATTACTATCGTACTATACTGCCTTCAACTTTAATGAACGACTGGGTGTTTAAGGTTAGCGATTTGTCGTGTTATTTGGCTGTATAGAAAATGAAAAAATACAATTACTTTACTATGCAAGTAAAAAAATTGATGTTTTAATATTTGTTATTTTTTTTTATTTAGGGCCCCTTATAACATCCTGCTACAGGCCCGGCACTAGCTTCATCCGGCACTGGGGTGTAGACATACACGACGCCCGGCCGCCTTTGTCTTCCCAGTGGCGATGTTCACTCAACCCCCAAGATGTCATTTTAGACCGAGTCGACCTAGGGGAGGAGACCCAGGACCGGTTCAGATAATCGTCACAGGTGTTGGGGGTTCATAGCGCAGCGCGCTAACCACTGCACCACCGCTCCCCACACAAAGACAAAGATCACCCGTACAGTCTTAACGAATCGATAGGAGCAGTCCCACCCACACGAAGTCTCACACACACACACACGCAGTCTTTCTGTGCCACACACACGCACGCACAGAGACAGACAGACAGACACGCATTGAAAGTGGACAGATGCCAGGCCAGACAAGCCGTGCACAAAACCAGACGCACGCGGAGGAAACGAGATTAGGGCGAGCCGCGTTCTTGTCCGTATCCCGCGCCTCTCGATCCTGACCGCGGGAGCAGTCGCAGCTGATGGATTTGTGAGTTTTCCGCGTGGCCCTGGGTGTTCGTAATGGCCCGTGTCTGAGCGCTGCCGTGTTCCTTTTTTCTTTTGGAGGGGGAAACCGGGGAGATGATGAAAGAGACCCATGGAGAGGCGAGACACAGCAGTGCCCCCCCTTTTGCAACGGCGACCTGGGCTACAATCGAGAACGATTTCAAGAACGCATCGTAGTGCTGTTTCGCAAACGCGCAATTGCACGCGTAACGGACGGATCCTAAATCAGCTCGTGCGCCCGTTAAGTCACGTGGCTTCTGTGTGCGGCCCCTCCCACAATTTTCAACCGCCGCCCCCTTTGAAAACAGACTTCACCACTCAACCTCATACACCAAATATTACTCACCCTCACCACTCACCCTCACCGCTCACCCTCATACACCAAATACTACTTACCCTCACCACTCACCCTCACCACTCACCCTCATACACCAAATACTACTCACCCTCACCACTCACCCTCATACACCAAATATTACTCACCGTCACTACTCACCCTCACCACTCACCCTCATACACCAAATATTACTCACCACTCACCACTCACCCCATACACCACTCACCCTCATACACCAAATACTACTTACCCTCACCACACCCTCAACACTCCCTCATACACCAAATATTACTCACCCTCACCACTCACCCTCATCACTCACCCTCATACACCAAATACTACTCACCCTCACCACTCACCCTCACCACTCACCCTCATACACCACTCGCCCTCATACACCAAATATTACTCACCCTCACTACTCACCCTCACTACTCACCCTCCCCACTCACCCTCATACACCAAATATTACTCACCCTCACTACTCACTCTCACCACTCACCCTCATACACCAAATATTACTCACCCTCACCACTCACCCTCATCACTCACCCTCATACACCAAATAGTACTTACCCTCACCACACCCTCAACACTCACCCTCATACACCAAATACTACTCACCGTCACCACTCACCCTCACCACTCACCCTCATACACCAAATACTACTCACCTTCACCCCTCACCACTCACCCTCATACACCAAATATTACTCACCCTCACCACTCACCCTAATACACCAAATACAACTCACCCTCACCACTCACCCTCACCACTCACCCTCACCACTCACCCTCATACACCAAATACTACTCACCG